ACCTTGAGAATAATTTGAATTCGGTGAACTCAGGGTTCCCTTGATGACTTACACTTATTGTAGAACATGTATACAGTGATTGGTGGATTCACAACATTTAGTGTGAGATGTAGGGTAGATAATGAAATTGAAGGCTTTCGACTGGAGTACTCATATCAATCAATTTCTTGTTCCCTATCAAGTTGCCCTTATTTGAAAGATAAAGGTCCAAGCAAACACCTGGTTTGTAAGTAAATTTCCTGTGTATAATAAACATTGTAGTTTTTTTGTTTATCTAGTAAATGGAACGAAGTCAATCCTCATATCTTCACTTTAACGAAATTTAATTAAAAATTAAAAAGTGATGATATTTTAAAGGAGATTTTGTAAGACATCAAAAAGGTTTCTTTTCGGGGAGAATATTTAATGAGTATTAGTACAATTGAACCTCAAATGAACCACAATAAATCATAGTAAATCTCTATGCTCCAGGGTCTGAATGGTACAGTGTTTTTGTTAGCATATTTTGGTAGCACCGCATGCGCAGTGAATGGTTTGAACTCGGGAGTCATCATGTCAACCGACATAAGTAAAGTAAGCACCTGCGAATAAGACTGAAGTCTGTTAAATAGGTTCTTGGATTTTGGAGTACTTATTGCAATTTAGTGTAACAGATTGTTGATTACCAGAAAAATAAACTTGGGTTTGGTCCTAAGAAATACAGTATTTATTCATAATTCTATTATCATAACCCTAACAAATACCAAATTTATAAACATTAAATGTTCTTTTATACTTAAATTTACAAACTCAAAGTTACATTTCTTGATTATCATAATTTAACTGTAATCCACATATAATAATCTTTAATTTTCCTGGTGAGCGTAGTCCTGAATAGGACTGTTGTTAACAGTAGCTGATGTTTCGTTAACCTGTGCTGTAGCTATCTTCAGGGTCAAAGAGAGTTTCATCTCGTTAGTTGATGGTATCCGAGGTCCCGATGTTATTGGTCGGTTGTCACTTAAGCCGTAATGTTTTCGGCTGAGTAGTATAGTAGGGATGTTTTTCGCCGTTGTTTGAGGGGCAATCTCATTAATAGAGCAGTGTTACGAAATTGATCAGGACTTTAATTTCAACAGTGGCAAGGATGGACAAAGTTGTAGAAGATTGAAACGGAATGCAAATGAGTTTTGAAAACTTGTGAGCCTAATAGTTCATTTTTGTTTCATTTTTGTTGTTTGTAAGGCCGTTCGATAAAATGCTTGCGAGACATATTTGTTTGACAGGTAGCTCTGATTTAGTCATTTACAAGTAATTTCTAAAATTTCATAGCGATTAAGGAGGCGTATACCCCGAGGGTGGCGCTTAATGGAGATTCAACTGTATGTTTATATGAATTCTGGTCTTACTAGTAAAAAGACGTCATTCTGCAATTTGCCTATTGGCATTATAAACAAAATGAATTATCCATCCCAGAGACAGCCCCTTTCATTCAATTGAGGTGAAATGCATTAACGCAGATGACGCCATAGCCGGTTGTCGTTATCTCATAATCAAAATTTATTTTGCTCCACAATTCAGTTATTTCGCTCTTCCTCATACCTTTCTATCTTTCCTCCACCACTACCAACACCCCCATCACCTCCACCACCAACACCACCACCACACATTTTCCTTTTTTTCTCTTCACAACTACCACGTTTCTGCCTCAACCGCTACTACCACCCCCACCACCACCACCACATTTCTATTGTTTTTCCGTCCACCGCCAATACCACTTTCTACTGTTTTTCTTCCTCTTCGTTTGTATTTTAGGATCGATTTAGGGTCCATGTGGGTACAATGAATAGTCCTCTAAACAAATGCGAAGCAAGTTTTTCAAAGCAGTATTTAGTTTCATGAATAGAGAGCTTAAGCAAAGACGTTTTTGAGGGACGCACGTCAACCGGAAGTGAGCCTTTCTCCCTTTATATATGCCTTGACGCTAACAAATTTGTATTGCTAAGTTTCTTTTCTCTTATGAGGAGGATTTATCAGAGAGTTTCAAACAAACCACTGCCCAATAATGCAAAAGGTCCACTTCCGGTGGACGTCCGTCGCTCAACAACGCTGTTGCTTAAGCTCCCTAATGTTATAAATAATAGACGGCATGTCTATTATATATATCTTCTATTCGAAGAAGGCCGAAAGATGTACAAAGAAGAGAACTTTAATTGAGACAGCGATCTAAAAATAGATAGAGAACTTCCCTTATCTATCACAGTCTCAAAAATAAGCATTTTGTCCACTTACTCAATACAGGCAATTTTACCCATAGAGTTAGGTGTACAATAGTGGATCTCGTTCCAAGTAACTTAAGCACAGTTCTTCTTTCTCTAGTACTGAGCAAAGATTTCAGCTTCTCCGCTGAAACCGATGCCGGTGATAACGTGTACAGTCGAACGTCCACGTGCGATCACCTCCCATAAGCGACCACCTTCCCAAAACACCAAAAATAGTCTCAGTCAAAGCCTTATACTGCAACCTCTCGTAAACGAGCACCTCCAGTAAACGACCGCGACCACTTTTTCGGCTGACAGTTTTAGAATTTTTCTATTGTTTTTAACCTCCGGTAAGCGACCACTTGACGCATGGTCTTATCTTTGCGGGTGAAAATTGGATGACGGGACATCAGACGAAGTGAAGTAATCAATGTGAATCTCTTAATGGCAGTGAGGTGGATGGTGAGTGCCTGGGAGGAAGTCGAGACAGGTGTAATTGTTAAATGTTTTAAACATGTTGGCATGCACCCAGAAGAGAAGGACAACACTGACGAAGATGACGATCCATTTGCTGGAGAGGATCTCCTAGACTTGGACGAGATGGTTAGGAAAGGTTCTGGAGACGCAAAAAAATTGACACTTTGACGTATGTTACCGTTGTGGATTATGATTTTCCCCCCTACATGGCCATTTTGGATACTACTGATCCAAACTGGAGAAAAGACCTACTCGAAGAGATCATTGAGAAGCATACCTTCACGTTAGAGATCACTGAGATCAGAGTGACGGGGAAGAGATAAGTGAAGAAGTTGACCAGTGTATGATGCCTCCTCAGGTGTCCACATTCCGGGGCGCCATTAAGGTCGCAAATATTTAACAATTATTGGACGAGGTTGAGCAAAATATCGTGATTTGTCTGCGAGACACTGACAAACCACGATATTTTGCGATAACCGAGTTCAATAATTATTTTATCATTCGATCACCGAGTTTGTTTTTTTAATGAATATCCTCGGGAAGCGACGCGATCTGCCATTTTCACACAAGAGCGATCGCAAGAAGGAGAAAAGCACGGTTTCCTTTACGCATGTGCAGAATATTATTTGCAGCCAAACACAGTTGGACGGCATTGCGCATGAGCAGACCATTATTTGTAGGCAGTTATTTACAGGTCACGTGGTGGGCTCTCGGCCAATGCAAGAAAGAAAAATTTTCTTCGAATGATAATATGACAGAGTTCGCTGACTGGAGGGGTGGAGAAGAATTGTCTTTGGCAGTAGCACGTGTAACTGACTTGCTTTGTGGTAATAACTTTTGAATTAACTTAACATTCTTGCGACTGTTCTGTTATTGCCACTTTGTGATCAGGCAAGACCATAGTTTCTGTTCTCCACGCGAACGGTGAACCTCATCAGTTGCCGCGTTGGCTTTGTTCTTAGTTGCTTTCACAACAGCAAGTCTAGTTCTGTGCCGTGGCGAGAACAGTTAGCCTTTCTGTCTAGCTGAGCTTTGACCTTGTACTTATACCCGCGTCGCGGATCGAAAATTCTAGACTTGAATACTTGTCACATATACCACCTCAATCCAACTTCGTGGAGGTTTGAGCTAAAACTTCAAAACTTCGCCCTTACATTCCTTCTTTTTAGACGAATTAAAAAGATAATTTTAACTTTGAAGCTGCAATTACAAAGCCTGTATTGATCGTTCGAATCCATTGGCATTTCTGCATTCCCGCCGTCCCCGCGTTGGTTCCGAAATATTTTGACAAAGAAATTTTGTTTTGGTTCCAAGCGCGTCCTCGAAAGTTCGGCTCCACCGTTTAACAATTTTTTTTCTTTCTCTAAACTCAAATACGGTCTTTTCGGATCTCAACCCCAGAAAATGTCGCCAACATTTGAAAAATTAAATAAAATCTGAATGAGATTGACAACATCTGAAAAAAGTGCGAATTCACTTTTTAAATAACGTTTTCAGTTTGTTGCCATCCATAAATTTTGCTTCCACAGCAACCTGACGTAACGACTTCTCTCTTTTGTCTGTAAAGGCAATTTCACCGGGTGGCAATTCGTATCAGCCGGCAGCAGACCATATTCTCGAGCGATTTGAGATTTTTGGTTCAATGGTTCGATTGTTGAATGGCTCAATCTGTGACTGCAGCGTTATGCAGTCAGCGGTTTCACCAAGTGCTTAGCTGCCGCGCCTCTTTGTCTCTTAGGAGCAACATGCCATTTTGTTTTGTTCTCGTGTGTGTAGAAATAGCAGGGGCACCCAACGAGAGTATAGTTCAAAACCACATAAACATAGCATTATTGAACGTACTTTAGTATTTAAACGGTAGATAAAGGCTTATTTTTATCCCCTAAAAATTTTTCATCTGTTCGGATTTCCTAGCTGAAAGTATAGTGATCCGAAAATTATAGGGATCAAAATTTACCTTTTTGAAAATTTCAGCCAGAAAAAAGGCTCCCGAAAATTCTAGGTGACCTTTTTAGGGTAAAAATCTGTTAAAAATGGGCAATTATACGATTTTTTTGAAGTTCGAAAATCCTAGGAGAGGCAGGCAAGCAAGAAATTTGTCAGAAAATGATCCGAAAATTCTAGACCTCAAATCGTCTTCCCAACAGATAATTTTCCAAAAATTGTCGTTGGGTGCTCCTGAAATAGTAGTCCATCGGATGTTTCCTGTCTTTTTAAAAGGCCTAAACGGTAAGAACAGTTCAAGAAGCATTGTACGGAACATTTCTTTGGTTTATCTTTTTATTCTCGTTTAGTTATAGTGAGTATTCTTTTGTCACACAGATTGTTATCTCGGGAATCAGGATTGTAATGCATCAGTCAATTCCAGCTGCGCCCAGCCTCACCCCCCTGGGCTACTGCGGAGCATTTGCCCGCCTTGTCAGTCTCGTGGGTGGGGCGTTTGCAAATTTTGCGCTGCCCGGGGGCCGGGCATTTACCAACCCCGGGGCCAACCCCGAGCTTTTGACACGCACGCGGTTTCCTGTCAGAATACAACTGCACAAAGGATTTTACTGGAAAAACAAGGGGATTGGCTCATTTGTCAAGGACAGGAAACAATTGAAGAGGTTTGTAAAGGCATGTTGTCGATTTTATGCATGCGTGTCTTCATTGCTTATCAAGCCAGAATTACAGGGAAATGGAGCTATCGACGTGAATCAACGGTTATTGAATCAAATTTCTGTTGAGTATTTCAAGAACATCCTTCCATATTTTTAAAACTATTCATAACAGTTAACTTTACAGCGCACTATTAATTTTAATGTCAATAATTTTATAACAATACTAAAACCATAAACTGGTGTCGTCACGGCGTGAAGTCTTACTTGTTAAAATGTTTAAAAGGGCACTGCTCGACTGGGCGCAGCTGGAATTGACTGTTACATAAGTTACATAAGTTACATAAGTGAACGCACTGAACGGCATGTATATGTGCTGTACGTCTACCTTACCTGTGAATAAACAAGTTTTGGGCTTTACGTTATTTTTTCGCAACTCTTCTCCACGTGTGCGACGGGAGGCCAGCCACACAATCGATTGTTCGATGAAGAAACAGCCTATCAGCACTGCCGTTGTTTTAGAATTTATTGAATTATTAAAATGAATTAGAAAATCATATTGAATCTTTAGCGAGTTATCTGAATGTAAGCATATTTGTCATTGTGATCGGTTCATTTTTTATATTTCGCTCGGCTCTGAGTGTTTCATAATTCCAACAAGTCTAAGTTATTAACTTTAATTAAAAATTCATTTGTTCAACTGTTTTACGTGCTGTCTCTGTCCTATTCACATCGCAACTAACGGCAGCATTTCCCTTCTCAATGAGAACTTCTAGCCTTAACTTTATTAGCATGCACTACCCGTCTCGAATAGTGTTAGCTAGCTGCCGCCATTGCATGCTTATTTTCAAACATTTTTGACGTTATTTCCGCCTGAATATATTATATAACTGTGGACTTTCTATATATATATAATAGTTTTAAATTAGTTTAAAAATATGTATTTCAAAAAATACCTACTCGTCACAATTTGACCTGACAGTTCGACGAAGCAAATTTCTCTTTCGTAAACAGCCGTTGTTTTTCTAAAACACATAGAGAACACTTTGTAACAACCGTTAAATTGAACCCGGGCCTTTTGTATCCTAACCCCCTACTCCCTTTTGCCCGTGTGCAAAATGGAGTCTGCATGAAGGGGAAATAGGAGGAATCTACTCGGCCTTGATGTTGATGATGACGATAAGAATGAACAATTTTACTATGATTTCTGTTGTGAAAAAGTCCATTCTTGTTCACTTGATGAATTGCACTTTGCCATAACTACGTCCTCTCCGCCATTTCTAACTCCACCGTTTTTGAGTTGTACGCAATCGCCTCCTCTGTTACGAAGCTTTCCCTGAAATAAAACAAATAGCTATGTTTAGTCCTTAAACCTAATCACTAAAGTCAATGGTTCCATGCAGACTATATAAGGAAACTAATGCCTTGTGTAGGCATCATAAGGTATCCAAGGTCAGTTTGGAGCATGAACATAAGTCTTAACCAGGCCCCGCCGCCCCTTTACGTCTTCATTACTCATTCGTTATTCGCTCCTTTTCCAATTAAGGATCCTGGTAGCAGGCTACATCGCCGGTTGAACACTGGCACCGCCTTAACTAATTTGCACCGGTAGGGGATCACGCCATGAAAAGTGGTTTCTAAGATTAGGTGTAGTAGAACGAGAAATGTTTTAAAGTAGAACTCCTAAATGGTGGGAATCTCGCAAGTGGTAGTCACACACGGGAGCTTTCAACTTTAGTACCTTCACCTTCGGAGAAGAGAGGCTTACGTTACGTTGCGTTACTTGAACGTTACATTAAGGTTAACGTTACGTTACGTGAACAGCGCATACATAAATGACTGATCAAGGTTTTGCAGACTAAGAAGGTGTATGTTGATATGAGTACCATTAGCAATTCCTACCTAAACTCCTTATTCAGGTTAAGTGTTTTCCTTCTTTATCTCTATAAGTGCTACCTTTTATCTATTTATTTCATTTTATTATTGCTTTCTCTTTACTTACGTTGTTTTGCCGACTTTATAGGAGACAATTATTGTATTGTTGCCCACCTAGAGTAGCTCCGCTAATTGTGGGTAACATAGACCTAACTCATTTGACAATTGAATAAACTGTTGTTGTTGTTGTTGTTGCTGCTGCTTATGAAAGAGGTGATCGCACATGGAGGTTCGATTGTATTCATCTTACCTCGACAACTGACCATTGCTTTGGACCATCATCACAAGAGACAAGTACCAAGCTAGTGCCAACTGCTTCTACGCAAAGTGAATCACCAGCTTGCTCAGCCTGTAGCTGGTTATCTTTGGTTAAGACAAAGTGCTGCAACGAAATATAGACATTGGCATTCACTCTAAGTAGAAATGCATTGCTGAACTCGCTAGGTTCGAACTAAAAATTGAGCGTACATTTCTGTTCACTAGCAACAATAATTCGTCAAGGCAAACTAAAATCTACCACTTTATAATTCGTAAAATTACCTGATTTCCTCCCATGCCATGACAGCGCGAGGCACCTAGTTTATCGCCAATCGACCTGGCCAAGGTGTCAAGACAGAAACCGGAACTGGGATTTCGAACCTATACAAAAAATGGATACCACGTGTGAGAAACATTACGACCACAGGAAAAGTATAATAATCTACGATTAAGAAAATGCTTAACTGGGAAGAAGCAAAAAATGAATAAATAAAACGATAATGACAATGACAATGACAATGATAATGAGAATGAGAATGAGAATGAGAATGACAATCATAATGACAATGATAATGACAATGATAATTACAATGATAATGACAATGATAATGACAATGATAATGATAATGATAATGACAATGATAATGACAATGATAATGACAATCATACTGACAATCATAATGACAATCATAATGAAAATGATAATGACAATGATAATGACAATGATAATGACAATGATAATGACAATGATAATGACAATGATAATGACAATGATAATGACAATGATAATGACAATGATAATGAAAATGATAATGACAATGATAATGACAATGATAATGACAATGATGATGATATTGACAATGACAATGATAATGAAAATGATGATGACAATGATAATGACAATGATAATGACAATGATAATGACAATGATAATGACAATGATAATGATGAAGATGAAGATGAAGATGATGATGAAAATGACGATGATTCGCATCGGCTGTTTTTGCAACATGGAAAATCGCATGTCTCAAAGTTGTTCTCGAATTATAAATGTCCTTCTTGTCTTCACAAAGCGTTATTTACTTTAGCTCATACAAAGAATAAACTGTTTCTTTACCTCTCCAAATGCCACGTAATCGGTGTCAGGGATCGTTTGCTCTGGATAGATGTTTTCTAAGTACCACTTGAAGCTTTTACACTTAAGTCGCCTCCGGAGTTCTAACCTCGGTGTCAAATCTCCATGATTTACTTGTTGCAAGTCTGGCCTCTTCAAGAACACGTATCTCTTATAGTCATCCATCCACACGTGAACAACTCGTGCAAGATTCACAGTTACCTCGTGATAACCACCTGGAAACTTGTATGGAAAACGAGAGCGAAACACGTGGCCGACACGTGAACACGGGATGATTTCCAATTTTCCCCCACACTGCCATATCTAGACAAATTAAGTACCATACAGGGGTTAAAAAGTATCCATTCGCTTCCCTTTACACAAAACCTGCCATGACGATACCGTATCAAAGCAAGTATAAAACATATCAGTCATATAATGAAACATTTGCTAAGAATGAGACGAAGCAACGACGTTTTGAATCGTTTTTGAAGGGTCCTGTATTAATTGTTTTACCAACTTCGCCAGTAAATGCTTAAATTATGTCGGAGCTCCGCGCGAACCCTCTTTGTAAGAGAACAAAAATTATCCAAATATCTACAGAAATCTGCTAACTAATAGCCTGAATTTCAGGCGATTATTTCCAGTCGTTTTTACTCTGTTGCTGAGGGAGTAAAAACGACTCGAAGCAATCGTCTGAAATTCAGGCTAGGTAACCAATCGATGCAAAATTATTTGTTATCACGTAACCGTACGAGCCGACCGTCCGTCCACTCCTTTTCACGAATGTAAAATGTCACACTTTCGCAGACTTACAAAGAAGCCATATAGAAATGAGAACATGATGCTACAGCTATATTTTTTATAGAGCATATTCGTCAAATGACAGCTAACAAAATGGGGCATCTGCTTGCCTAAACCACATGACTGCATCAGGTATACTTCCTATGGAGATCTGTATTTCTTTAACTTAACCTTTGACAGGCTGATAATTTTTCATTGAATCTGGGCCTCGATTTCAGTTTTTTGTGAAAAAAAAAATGCGCGAAAGGCATTTATGTTGATTTTAATGGTTGAAGTCTATTTTTTACTGTAAATGGGTAGTATTCAGCAGGAGCTCCGCTCTTGGGCGAAGCTACAAATCACTGCTTCGCTCTCCTCCTGCTCCTCCTCCACTTCTTTAGAGCGGAGACCGATACCCAAGAAAATTTGATAATCTATCCACCCGAGAAAGTTTGGTAATCACGTGACCGTAGGCCTGTCCGTTCGCACCACAGGATAACCAATGCGAAATGTCAAACTTTCTAGCTAGTGTGGGAGCCTGTAACCTGTGTTTAACTTGATAATTGACATCCATATTATGGTCAATTGACAGCTGTCAAAATAGGGTATCTGCTGACCATAGTCACATGAACGTATCGCGGGCTTAGATGCCAAAAATTAAGTTTAGCTTAGAGGATTCCTTTTGTAATGGTTCTAGTCCATTGTCTGAAGTAATCTTAGAATGCATAAACGGGAGCTTCGCTTTTAGCTCTGGCTAAATCTATACGTGAGTATGTGAAGAGAGTCATTTCTTTCATGTTTCCAATAGTGCTCAGAACTTAACAACGTTTAACATATTAATTCATTAGTTTATCTCTTAATTAGCAATTAATGAATGAGGCTGAGTAGGATATGAAGAATTAAGCAGATCGAGGAGGGTGTTATCCCCTGAAGCCGAAGGCCGAGGTGGATAACACCCAACGAGATCTACTTAATTCTTCATATCCTACGAAAGCCGAATTCATTAATTGCTTTATTATTCGTTCAAAATAATTCCTAGTTTAAAAACATAGCTGCAACATGCTTACCTGCATCGATGTTAAGTTCATCTTCTATAGTGCACGTTTAGCTTTGTCCAGCTCCCCAAATATTCTCCAAATAGCAGATTTCGCCCTCCGAGTTGTCTTCTTGCTGTTTTTGCCACGCTTTTAGCTATTATTTCGCCTAATTCCAGCTGTAGTTCTTACTCTTGAAAGGAGTGAAATGTCCGCCATTTTTTTTTTTCACAACTAAAACAACTCAACTTCGCCGGCCCCCAGGTCTTCTCGGTAACGGTGCCTTAACCTGTAGCGGGTTGCATTTTTAACGTCATTTCCTCGTTAAACACAAAATTCTTCCAGATTTGGTCATCAGTATGAAATATGTCTGTGCTTTTAGCCAATCACAATAGGGGAAATGTTGTGAATGAATAATAATGAATGATATAGGATTTCGTTTAAAGCAAGCGAACAGTAATATAATGTGTTTACTGATAAGAAATTTTAACACAGGAGAATTTTTACATCGATCAGTACCTACTCACCCGGAAAGACATCTCTAAGTTTTCTCCTCCCCAAACATCCATTCCTTCGTCGTAAGAACCGGAATCGTAGAAGTACTTGCGATCAATTGAAAACAGACCTCCTGCCATTGTGGGCGTTCTACAATTATAAGGTACTAAGCAATTAAACCATTATTTAATCTAATTTGGCAGTTACGTATAAAACATTAGGGATGGAGTTACCCTTTCTGCGTAAAAGGGGAACTGAGGAAGAAAGAACACTACCACATCAGTTAATACCGCTACAGGGTGTCGAAAATTGACCCGAAAGCTAAGGTTCGGAAGGCATTTTTAGGTAGACTTAAGTAATACTACATACCGCTATTAGAGGATCAAAATAACTGATATACGGTAAGAAAATTGTCCGAACGCTTCATACCCTTATATGAATGAAGAGTCGTGGATGAGAGGACAACAGACGTGCCCTCTTACAAAACATTTTAACATGTGAACAGTAAGCTCAGACGTCAGCATCAAAGGCGCCATTGTCAGCCGCTCTCAGTCCATTTGTGAGCTTACTGTAACCACCCAACCCACGATAACGACTTAATACATATAAGTCCCGCTCCATGCACCTCCATCATTAAAGACTGATAATGATCTCATTACGATGAGAGCTATGTTATGGATTGTAAACCCAAATTTGGAATAAGATCTAAAATTCGAACTCGACTCCCTTGGAACTTCCTCTTTATCAATCTCCTCGAGCGAACAAGCAGGCGCGCATTAATTCTGCTCCCACAAGTAGAGACAAAGTAAAGAGCCAAACGCCATGGCTTTGCTGATGGAAGGCGATTCCACCCGTCCTCGACTTTCGCCTGCGTGTCTCGCGCCCTCGACTATTTCCAAGGCTGATACAATAACACTAACCTGATAGGATCACTCGCTTCTCTTCGCTGATTTCGGACACTAAACGGTAACGAATGCCAATTAAACTGCATATCCCAACTGAACCCACCGATCACTTCAGCGGGTGTCCCTGAATACGAAAAGTCAGATGAACTTATAATATCAATAACAGGAACTGCTACGGTGTTGGGATCTCGCCTGATCCGATCCAGCAATGGCTCTAACCAGTTTACGTTAGCTTCGCAGTGAGCATCAAGGAACGTTAACACTTGGGCCTTTGCTGCTTTGGCTCCTAACAAACGAGCTCGTATTAGCCCCTCCCTCTTTGTGGTCCTTAGAATACGAACTTTGCCTAGCTGTGCTACGTAATCTTCTAATGGCTTTTTCAGATGATCTGAGGAGAGACATGTGTTATATCAATGTACAATCAGGGGAAATGCATGGTATTTTCAAAAAAAAAAAGCAAGCAAGAATATGAAAAAATCCTTCTACTGCTGGTTGAGTATCATCTAATTTTTTGAGAAATATCTGCAAGGAAAATAAACATATTTCATACTCTAAAACTGTCCTGAGAAACAAGCTAATGCTGCGAGCAGATAAGGTTGTTAAAAATTTTGAATAAACAGTACAGCAATTATTGAATTTGCCTTTCGTATGATATGAAAAATTATGCAGATATCCGCCTTCAGCCTCGGCGATTACACGTAACAGCCCCCTCTATCTGCATAATTATTTATATCATAGTCAGGCTCCTGAAATAAGTGTTAAATATTCATCTCCAAAAGGGGGATTTTGGTTCCCGTAAACGCCGTTTACATGTAGACAGAAAGCTAAAACGGATATAAAATTTTCGTTTTCAAAAATATACGGATAAGTGTGGACCGGGCTTGAATCCTTACTAAACTGAGAAACACCTCTTCAAAGTTCTTAAGAGTTGCGCACAGGCGAGAACACTGAGAGCCCGCACTTTCAGTCTTCGCGGACTGCGTGACGTGATTAGACACTGCTAGCAGTGTTAGAGACATTGAGGTTATAAGACGGGAACGACTTCGAGAACGAGATTTTCTCAATACTAAGTAGTGCGAGTACGTGAATCAGCTTCATTTTGGCGGGTAAACGCTTATTCCTGTCGTCATTCTACGACGGATTTTAGCGAAAATGTCGTAGTGGTGGAAACAGGGTATCAAATGGTAGAATTCAATGGAAAAAAAGGGAACAAAAGAAGCTTTCCGGGGTGTAAATTCTTAGAGTATACGCGGAAAATAATAATCAAATCTCGTCCCAGAAGTCATCCCCGCCCTGGAATGTAAAGGTTTGTATTATTTTCAAAGCTCACCGAATGTGCTGAAATCGTCAATCAGTATAATCTCTTGCAAGAGTTGCGGCGGTGAGCGGAGTAACACAGTGTGAACTGTACGCAGCAAGGTCGACCACGCCTCGTTATGGAAACAGATTATTACACTGGTTGTAGGCAGGTCCGACACAGGATACGATTTTGCATCACACCTGACGAGAAAATACGCTTACTTATTGTTTTTGCTACCAAGGACTACGTTAACTTATCAGAGAATTAAGAGGCCACGTCCACTTTAATGCGTTTTCGTTTATACATTTCAGTTTTCTGTAATGAGTTTTGTCTTATTGCGTTCTTCAGAACGCATACTATAATCTGGTGTTCCTGTGGCATAAAGGCAGAAATTTTCGACCTATCACGGGCGACTGCCGATCAGCCACCCCTATTAATTTTACCACGAGTATCTCGGCCGGGAAACTGGACTTTTGACTTAATTTACGAACCTGGATCCGTGATCAATGATTGCCTTGAGTTTTATTACCTTAAGTTTGTCTTCATCTTCCCCCTGCCTCGATTAGCTTTTTATGCTATTAGCGGTGGGAAAGTTTTTTTCCCAATTTCTTATACATGTAATTAATGAACTGAGAGTGTAATTACTGTTGTATCTGAACTATGTGGAATAAGGTGCTGTTTGTTGTTGTTGATACGATTAAGGCCTTCCCCGTCCACACCAGTACGCTGAGCGTCCCATCGAAAACGCCTCGATTTGAAAACGCTCTTGAAAGTAAATCAAGACAAAAATGTATGCATATCGTATGGGTGTAAATGGTTGAAAACGCATCAAAATGAAAATGATGACGGCATATTTACCACGTGAGTTGTAAAATGTCACATGCAGGCTTGTGTGTTTGTAACATGCTTATAGAGGTCAACTTACGACATGCTAATTCTTACTTGGCTCCGAGGCTTGGGAAAAAAACAAAAGAAATGTATTACTGCAAATCCTCTATTAAGCCCCCCCTCTCAAATTAGCCTCCTCCCTTTAATAAGCCCCTCCCCCCCTTTCAGAGGAAGAAAGTGAATAAGCCCCCTCCTCTCTATTAAGCCCCTCCTTCCCTCCCCTCCCCTCCCCTAATTATTCTTCACTAATAAATGATAGACTGTATTAATCAATCACCATTGTAAAACTTCGTGTGGACTGATCCGGGATGGTTTATTTACCAACTGGAAGTTCAGATTTGATTCCGGATCCTCGGCTGCATGACCTAAACTTCTTGTTCTTGAGTTATTCCACTTTGTGTTCTAGTTCTTTATGGAGAACGGATACTATCGACGTTTCTAAATTAAATGAGCCCCCCCCCCCCAACCAAATGGGCTTGAAATAAATAAAGCTTGATAAGCCCCCCTCAGGGCTTAATACAGGATTAACTGTATTTATTGCTGAGCCTCAAGATGAGTTCTTTTGTTTTTATTCCCTAAGCCTCGGGGCTAAGTAGGATTTTAATATATCGAAAATGGTCTATTATATCGTTTTCGAACGTTTAAGTATAGACAGTCCGAAACGCATCCAGAACGGTGGTGTGGACTCGAATTGTTTTCGATGGCTTTAATCTCTGTGCTCTTCGTAAGTACTACACGACTAAGAGAATGCGATGTGCTTATTGTGACAACATGAAACTACACATATCGTTATAACTTAGAAGCTGCATACAATGAATTATCTCAGAACAAAATGTTGATGTTTTCGGTCCTCCTTCAAGGAAGAGAACCCTGTGGTTCGATTCTTGTTCTTCGCATTTTGAGTGGTCTGTGACTGTGGTTAAATTAGTTACAAATCATGTGAAACAAAAAAATAAACTTACCCAGCACTTCTTGTATCTGGAATGGAACGCACGAGTGAAATCTTCTGACTTGCATATTCATTGAAGGCATATTTACTGTAACCTTCCTTTTCTTTCTTTTTTTCTGACCCTTCAAAAACTACCGCTCTCCCACCTTCTCCAAGACCGTTCGGGTCGCGAGCATTAACGTCGGGAATTGTCGGGATGCGTTCCGCGTCCTTCGAGTCCTCGATATGTTTCCTCGGTTGTATCTTGACCGCTGTAATCTGCTTTTTGTTGGCCATTTTAGGTTCTTTTCTAATAGCCTTCGATTCTTTTTTTCTGCTTAATTGCTGTTTATTCAAAGAAATTATTTTATTGTCACTTTTAAGTCCTTTTCTCATCACGTTAATGCCGTGATCTCGTTTGTCTTCTGTAATCTCCTTGTTTATAGTATCAAGTTCCTCTGGCAGTTCTTGGCCGTTTTTATGATTGCCTCGTGTCACACTAGCCTCCTGGCCTTTATTTGCATCTCCTAATTGCTTATCAAATCCTCGATGAATTTTTTTATTTTCGTGTCTAAATAACAGTACACTTTTACGATCATTTGAACCAATATTTCCTTGATATGAAATAATAATCAACGTGTTAAACACGAACCAAAAAATGGACGTGAGTAAAACAACCACGATCACTTGACGCGGCTGGTGAACTGAAAAGGCCATCGCGAAAATTTAACGGCGGATGAAAAACGCTAAAAATAAAACAATTGTATGATGACTTCTCTGTATCTTTGCTTAGAACTGACACATCAGCAACTTCCGTTGTGATTTCTCGGTTGATCAAGCCCGTAGCTTAGGTCGACGATCGTAGATTGACGTTATTAGTGAGACAAAACAATTCAATTGAGTCATCTTGCCCGCTTTCTTTCCAGTCCTATTTGTAGCGTCAGCGTCCAAGATCCATTGTTGTCAAGTAGATATCGGCAGCGATTTGTAGAAACCCTTCACAACCAAAGTTGTTTTCCCAAACGATTTTCTGTGTTGACCTTAATACCGCTTTGACGAACGTGGAACACGTTACAACAATAGCGTGGTATTGTATTAAAAATCTATTAACAAGCCTTTTAGGTCGATCCCGTCTTAGATTTGTCAGCTGGGTTAGCACTTTTGTTCTAGTGTCCAATTCACAGAAATAAGATAAACATATTTTTTTCTACAATTAATGCGAATTTGCATACGAGCAGATAAACACGACACAAAATATTGGCAACTTTATTACATTTCCATCTCAAAACATCATGTCTCCCTAGCAAAACATTCATACAGAAATTTGATTCCTCTTTGCTGAATATCCGGTAAAAAAAGTAAATTTAAGTGTTTGGCTAGTTTCATTGTTTTGTGCTTTTTGTGGTAGGACGTGAGCCAACTTTGTGGCTAACATTGTTGTTATATCGCCGGATCGCTGGATTAATTTGAATTTCTGACTCGCAACCCAAACTCGGCAATATAAAGAAGGCCAAAATTAAGAAAACCGGAAAGAGAAAGAAACACAAAAACAAAAACAGCTCGGTAAAACACACGATTCTTTCCAGCTTCGGTCTGTTTCAGTTTTTAAGAACCATATAGATTAATTTTTCTTTTTTCTGAAGATAACTGGGCTAATCATAAACTTCTGGTATTACTGATTCCGGGTCAACTTTTTCGGTTTAAAAGGATGCCCCAAACCAGCGAGCAAGAATTGTAGCAACTAGTTAGAAACATTTTACTTTTTAGCTCAGTGATTTCTTCCGGGTTGTCGACCACAGTAGTGCTTTATCGCCATGGTCAATTAAGTGCTGCGGTCACTCAAACGTTTGCTTTTCGTATCAAAACTTTCATTGTAATTAAGACTGCTAGTCAAAATTCTCCTTCCAGGTTGAAAGGCAATCCTATTTCACGGTGGTTTATTGGTTTCGGTTATTTCGTTGATGATGGTTTGTTTTTTAAAAATTATTTATGTAATTCAGCAGTATGGCCTGGCCAATATCCACTTCAAAAAAGGAAAATACCCTCAGGAGCAATATTAAACTAAATAAGATATTACCCGTGCAATATTGAAACATGAATGTAATTACTGAGTAACGCGATCCCTGCGTGTACATGTGGCATGGAGACTTTTTCGAATCTGTAAGGAAGAGATCAAACAGACGACGAAAGACTTTTCTCAAAAGAGCTCTCGCGAAAGGTACTAAAGAGTAAAAGGTTCTAGTGCATTTGTTTTTTTCTTTGTTTTAGTTGGCCGGCGCTGCTATTTTTTTTGGAAAGTACGGTACGTGATAGCATGCACCGGCCTTAAGTAACAACCAGTTATTGCGGTCAATGCGAGAAATATCAGCCCATTTAATCACGTATGAAATAGTGTAAGAGTTTAATGAAGTACATATCTAATGATTTTCGTTGCTATTGTTTGAAAAGTTCGTTAATATCTTTAACCAACAGACTTTGTTCGGCCTTGAACAGCGGTCGTGCATCATTGCACAGAATAAGCACGGGTAACCAATCGTTATCACATGACGTCACGGCGGCCAAGTTGTTTTTCCAAAACATCCATCTTGTGGGGCCTGTGTAATTGAACTCTAACCTCGTTCCCCGGGTCTTCTCGTTTTCCGATATGCCGCCGCCATATTGGAAAACGTATGGACCCCGGGGAAGGGGTTGATTGAGTCTTTACTCATGTAAAAACTTTCCTTTGTTCCAGTTAGTTATTCTATAAAGACATATAATAAATAGACTGTAATGATATGTTGACGCCGCGTTCATTCAACGAAACGGCGCGCGTAATTGAATAATTTTCACCACGGTTAACCGAGCGGACGTTCACATGTTCATTCTAAGGATCAACTTTCCAGCGCGGTTAACGGAGATTATTCCGCTGACCCGTCCTTCATGCGCGCATTACAGCTGATTTCAGTGCGGTGTATACACCCTGATTTTTAGACATGATTCGACGGTCATGATTCGACCGTCAAGATTCGACCGAGAGGTTACCAAGCAGTATAGTATTTTACCTTGAATATCCTACAGGAATCAAAGCATACAATCTGAAAGTTACTTTGATGATAGCTTGAATATTTCTCTTGTAATTCAGAAAAAGAGGACTGTGATCCATAATTTGTTCTCCTTTTCCGGGATAACAGCTTCTCATACAGTCACGCAATCTAATCGCAATACATGTTATCGGGCGTGTGGACGTCTCGATCAATAAGTTTTTCGGCTCTTTTCTCAACTTGTTTTGGGCTTTTACCTTGATCTTTAAGGAAATATCATATTTTACCCTTTTCCAAAAAAAAACAAATTTTGCTTTCTTTTATGTATGGTTTTCTTTATTTGTGCTTACTAGGGTCATAGGTCGAGGATCGAACATTGTGATATTTTTCAACGGTCGACGAAACAAAACTTTCAAACCCGCCAGCAAATTCTTTCACAACGGCAGACTGATCAATTTATCTGTTGATTTCTTCGGCAAAACGTCAAGGTTTCCTGTTATTTTTTAACCATGCAGAAGCTAAGTAAGGACGAAAAAGTACCAACTTGAAGAAATACAAATTTGCCTCCCTGTTAACTAAATTTGCATCACTGTTACATGTAAATTGCGGGTGGTATTCACCAACGGCAAAACACCGAAACCTTGTCATACGGAAGAAGACTAACGATTAACCGTCGGACTATTTCGCTTTTCGCTGTGTTGATAATATTTCGTCCATTATGATATCGCCTACAGAAATACATTCGGACTCGGCAATCGAACTCCAGGTTTATCACCTGATCAAATGTTATCATAATTTCTGTATCATGTCGCTGCTTTCCAAGCAACAAAGCTTTCCTCTTCAGGTAAAACGCATTTGTCGGGATTCTAGCTTCGTTACACTTATGTCCTTTAGTGCTAAGCTTTCCAGCCAGATTTTTCTCTCACTGTTTCGGATCCCACGGCAGAACTCTCAATTATTTTCGCGACCGTTTACGTACTGCGAAGCGATACGTCACGTGATTAGTGTCGAATCATGACAGGTCGAATCATGACCGTCGAATCATGTCTGAAAATCCGGGTGTATACATGGCAATGAAATCAGCTGTAAATTTTCTACAAGACTGAATATAGGGGTGACGCGTAATCTAGTTTCAAAAGAGGCTCTGTTAGGGTAAAATATCGACAAGCGAAATGGCCTTGAAAGAGCGTGGGATTAAATACAAGGTTAAATACCGGCAGGAACGTAGCCTACTCCTTAAAAAGCAAAAGGACTGTAGATGAAATTCAGAGTAGGGACATACCTAGGGCCTCTTTAAAGGCAAAGCAGGGAGCAGGACTAAGATAATCAGCAGCAGACATGGCATTAAGTCTAATATCTCGATTTCTCTAGCGACGAGGAACGGTGCCAGAGTCTACGTCCATGTAAATGGAGTGGCAGGGCACTTTTAATAAGATTGCTGAGAAACCTCCGACATTTTCGCAGAAATTCCATACTGATGACGTGTCACTACACAGATCTGGTCACTGCTTCTGGTTGGTTGAAACAAATTTCTTACTTGACACGACTAACCTGAAGCACTATCCAGATCTGGGTAATCACGCGTCATCAGTATGCTATTTCAGCTAATTTCTGCGTTCTTTTCCGGCTCAGACTTCATTTGGAGGGGAAACCATAGGTGGCGCCAAGGAATAGCGGCTGCTTTCTCAGGCTATTAATTAGACCCGGTAAAAACAAACTCGTAGACCTAAGCGTAGTAAGTTGTAAGCTGTACGGAATCGCAGGCGCAAGAACTCGGAAAAGAAACTCTCATATAGAAGTGACCGGGATGCTCTCCGTCTCACTTACGGTGTTGAGGACGTACGGAAAGCGAATATTAGTGCTTATAAAGGTATCTCTTAGTGTTGTGCGGAAAGGGGTCAAATAAAGCCCGAGCCATGCCTAGATTGGTCCCGTCACTTTAACAGGGCAGTCCCCCCGCGGCGCAAGAATCAGAACGACATAATCATGCATGCTAATATTTATTGAAAATAATTTAATAATTTAATTGTTTGATAGGCCGTCTTGCGACCCCATTTTCTGACAATAGATCCTGCACAATTACCTTTGACAATAATGAGTTTATATATTAAGTCCTCTATCAATTATTAGTTGCTAGCTTTACTGGCTTTATTTGCGACCAGTTTAAGCAGAGCAGGAAAAAGGATGAGATAAAAAAGTTAATAAATATCCTCATTTTTATAGCTCAATGAAATGGTACAGATATATCACACTGTTTCACTCCTAATCAGGTCTTTCCCGTGTTCACGTACCAAAACTCCAGTTTCGGGTAAAAAATCTAATCCAGCTCGAGGCAATACGCCACTTGCACATCTCCCATAACGCACCTTATTTTGCATAACCTTTGTTTTTCATCTCTCCTGGGTCAGATCACAGCATCCCAAGAGAAATAGGCCTCTTCCGAGTTCCAAAACCCTCACTTTCAAAATGAGTTTTATTTGCATGAGAATGAAAAATGATTTCCATATCAAAGACTGAGCACCTACCCTCGTTTTGAAACAGAGGCCAGGGGGAACTCGGAAATGGTCTATTGAAAACTTACGCCAATGAAAAAATTAGGGGACAAACGAAGGTGCATTATGGGAGATGTGCAAGTGGCGTATCGCCTCATGCTGGCTGCCTGTAAGTTCAATAAACTATGTTTTCAAAATGGCACGACCGTCGAATGTACAAATAAAGACGAATAGCAAAGACAATATTTGCCTACTCGTATCTCCAGAATTTTAGGGCGCTTTCCAAAAGTCAGAACTGGCCGGCCAGACCATGGCTGGAGCAGCATTTTTACAATGAAATAGGCTTTTCCCAACAGTTTTTGCTAAAAAACCATCTCCTTCGTGCATAGTATTTACGATTTGACGGATCTGGTTGAAAAGTTTTGATTAAAAGTAAAATTCTCATTACTACGGGAATGGTCTGGCCGGTCAGTTCTGACAAATGGAAAGCGCCCTTAGGTTCATTCCACAGCCAGCAGGAGCGTCTAGAGTACTGGAAATCACGAACAAAGAGTCTCCAAACTATAACAATATGCTAAAACTGAGTGGTCAGCCTTCTGTATCGCAAAAGCGACGATTCCTACAAGGAAGAGGACAGCAGCAGAGGGCAACAGCAACAGTAGTAACAAAACATATTATTTTTACGTCCAAAAAGCGACGTGAGTTAATCGAAATATACAAATCATAGGTGGATGTAAAGATAAAGTAACCCTCGGTAAAATTCACAAAGTTTTCGCTGAGGCGAAGTGGTGATCCATAAAAATCGTGCGTTGTACGTCATTTCAACACACTCCAATCAGCTTTTAGAATTTCGCACAGAACAAGCATTTTGAATCAGAATTTGAATATAAGTTACTGTAATAAAATATATTAAGTACGACATTACATCTGGATCTTGTTTCTCCTGTTCAAGGCTAGAGATATAAGCAAAAGAATTCTGTATAAAGTTTCTGAAAATCGCGAAATTCATCCCCCCCAAAAAAGGCGTTTCCAATCGCAAACATTAGTTTCCTAAAAACATAAAATCTGCCCATCCGCGAAATTAAACACCCGAAAAATGTAGAGGCCTCATATTTTGTTTTCCTAAATACGAGAGAGAATAAAAAAAGTCAGTGAATATAAATAGATAATAATATTTAATTAATATATTAAAAGTGAATTTCGGTTTTAGTGCCAGGTCGTCGAGGTTTGGAATTGAGCCACCATCAAGAAGGAAAATGAAAGTTCGACAAGAGTATTTCACACTATTTGTAGCGACCAGAGAGTTCTGGGACGCCTTGGAGGTATGTTTCAACCGTCCGTATGGATAATGGCTCCAGTAACGGGTAGTTCCCTCAATAACAACAAACGCTTATTGAGACGCTGGGTTCTCTTTCCTTCTTCCATAGCGCCTGAGTCGGCGCTGTAACATCGCGTTGACTGGCCTGATGGCGAGATCTGCTGCAACGTTTAATCCATGTCGTCTGTTTTGGAAAATTCCCAGACCTGCGAATCTCGGCCATCGCACGCGCGAACACGGGCGTGGCCAGAGCTTGCGGAGCCGCGGTCAATGCACACGTCTCGGCGAGGGTGGTAGAGCGTGTTATCCTGAACAAAGAAAGCAAAAACGCTTGAGCACGTGCAATGGAACTCCACTGTACGGATACCCGTATATTACGGACAATTTCGCTTGTCCCGACGAAAAGCTCATATATTTTCTCTAAAATTAACCCGCTTAATACGGACACCGGACACTTCTCTGCGTTCCTAGGTACAAAATCTCATAAAACTTCATCCTCGCTTTACGGGCACTTGTTATCTGTGCACTGTCTATTTTCCTTATCACATTCATGTGTTAACCGTTGACATTGCCGTACCCTGTTCAAATAATGACAGATTTCTATGGGTTAATACAGTAGCAAACTAGCGTGACAGATTTCTATGGGTTAATACAGCAGCAAACTAGCGTGACAGATTTCTATGGGTTAATACAGTAGCAAACTAGCGTGACAGATTTCTATGGGTTAAAACAGTAGCACACTAGCGTGACAGATTTCTATGGGTTAATACAGTAGCACACTAGCGTGACAGATTTCTATGGGTTAATACAGCAGCAAACTAGCGTGACAGATTTCTATGGGTTAAAACAGTAGCACACTAGCGTGACAGATTTCTATGGGTTAATACAGTAGCACACTAGCGTGACAGATTTCTATGGGTTAATGCAGTAAAAAACTAGCGTGACATGTTTGATTTTGATAAGTCCGTCTGTCTTCCCGTGTTCGAACCTTGTTCAACTTCAAAGAGAGTTTTCTGCCTCCTACTAGTCAAGATATGTCTCACTTCCCTTGCTTTTTGAGCAGTTTTTATTCCTACCCTTACTCTTTTTTTGTCTGCTTTAGACTTTATATCGATAAAACATGCGTCTATGACCTTCTTTTCTGAGAGCCCGCTTAATACGAACACCCGGATAATACGGACACTATGGCATGTACCCTTGGTGGTCCCCTTTAAAACTACAACATTTTCCCGCTTTCATCCCCACCAAACGAATTCTTTACAACCCAACCCCAGCCCTCAGGCCACTTTTGCGAATAGCGCCCCCCTTCCATCCCCACTATACACAACCATACCTTGTACGACCATCTCTGGTTCTGCTTAAGTCCGTCACATTCTCGTAGATACAAATCATAGCCGTTATAGTCCAGACAGTTGTCCTCTGACTTCAGTTCTCCTTTACTTGTCAATACAAAGTACTAAAAACAAGAAAACGTGGTCATAGAATTAAAGCTATAATAAGAGGATACATTGTGTAGTTAAAACTGTGACAAGAAGGAAAAAATGAACTCTTTACTTAGACAGAGCACGCTTTGCGTCAACGTATATCTAAGTTAAGGCGTCACGTTAAAGGGATTAAATCACTAAAAATATTGCTGTTTTAAGTCAATTCTGTACCGAGGTAGTTACTTAAAGCCTTTCCAAACCCACAAAATGCTCCTTTAGTTTCGTTTCACTGTTCTCTGTTTTCTCTGGCTATCACCCTCACTGTAACTAACTAACAACAAGTAGCAAGTTTCATTACCTGGTTTCCTCCCTGGCCATGACACTGGTACAAACCAAGCGGGGCATCATCTTTCTTCCCAAGCGTGTCTAGACACATGTCACTCGAAGGATTCCGCACCTACAGACAAAAACAAAACAGAATAATGGAAGACAGATTTCTTGCCAGAAGGACACTGATCAAAAAAGGAAGAAGTCTAAAGAAACGGACAAGCTGTATAACGACTTGAAATGCATTCCTGTTTGTGCTACAAGCGTAATAAGCTGTAGGTTGGTAAATTGTTGTGCGCGATAGGGGCACTTGTTGGAGTGGGGGCTCTTATTGGAAAACGGGAGCTTATTAAGATGAGGGTGTTTACGCAAAAAGGGCCCTCATTAGAATACGGACACTTAATAGAAAAAGGCTCTTATCAGTATAGGGAAGCCTATTGAAGTGAGGGTGCTATCCAAAAAGGACGCTCATTAGAATAGGGTCACTTATTGGAGAAGGGGCTCTTATTAGTATGGGGGAATGTATTGGAATGAGGGTGCTTAAGCAGTATGAATCACTACGGTATACCAAATCAGTGATAGCGTCCGTTCACTATACCCAGAGTTGACTTAGTATTCTAAACTTACTTGTCCAGCAGCCACAAAGTTTACATCTGGGACTTCAAGTTCAGGAATAATATTTTCAAGATACCATTTGAAACTCTTGCACTGCAACTTCTTTCTAAGCGCTAGTCTCTCGCTGACATCATCGTGTTTTTTCTTCTTGAGATCGAAGCGAATGTTGTAGAAATGTTTACTGTATTCATCCATCCACACATCCGCTACCCTCATTAGATTACGACTAACTACATCAAGGTCGCCTCCTGGACGAGCGGGGAATGAGTACGGGAAGCGTGGTCTGAACACGTGCCCAACACGTGAACACGGCAACATTTCGATGGTGCCACCACACATCCAGATCTAAAACAAAAGAATATAAGGTCAAGATATCACGTGCAACCGGGATCTCGGCAAGTGGACCAGTCCGCCTTCTCATATCAAAACAATGACAATTTTATGAGGACAAAAGGCATGACTCGAGCCCAGCCAGCCCGGCTTACAGGGCTGGCTCACCTCGTATACATAAGCCTTATAAGCAACGACGACGGCGACGTCAAAGAGAACGGCAATAACGCCATAGGTTTAGATTGGCAAAACAACAACTTTGCACGCGCATCACGCTTTTTTGTACATTTCTTTGCCGTTGTTGCACGACTACAACGTGAAAGTGCCTAAATTCACGTTTTGTCGAGGACGGGAACACGAGACAACAACTTTCCTTTTCTTTTCCTAATTTTTGATACAGTCCTTTAGAATTCAACTCCAAAAACATTTGCCAACATTTGACGAATTAAACGAAATGGAATAAGCGCGATGAAGTTTGAGGCAGCGCAAATTCACTTTTTAAGTGACGTTTTCGTGGCCGTCGCGGTCGCCGTCGTCGTTGCTTAAGCCCCCTAATGTATGGGCAGTGCAGCGCCTACGCAGAGGCCAAGGGTTTGAATCCCGTTGAAGCCCTGGAAGTTTTTACGAGTTTATTTTCAATGGCTTAAATTACCACTGCAATGATCATATCTCCATTTAAACCAAGAGCTTCTATTAGAGCTATGGAGGAATACCAGACTCACCCTAAAAGAAATTTCCAGATTTTCGCCACCCCAAATGTCCATTCCAGTGTCATAAGTTCCTATTTCTTCAAAATAACTTTTATCAATAGAAAACAACCCCCCGGCCATCACTGGGGTTCTGTAAATAAAACAAAAAAAAAGCTAGAGAACTTTAGATTCGAGGACGAGGACCACTACGACTACGAGATTTTCTCAATAGTAAGAAGTGCTCGCGCGTGAACCAGCGTCATTTTGGCGGGAAAACGTGATGGCCGTCGTCATTCTACTGCGAGTTTAAGCGAGAGTGTCGTAGTGGCGGGAACAAGTTATCAAATGTAAGAAGTTTTATCATTTTACTATCGGAAGAGGGCCTTAACCTCCTTCAATCAAGATAACCGTGCAAAAGTTTTTGGTAAAAACAAGTAAGATGAAGCTTTCCGAGGTGTATCTTTAGAGAAAACGCGCAAAGAACTTTAAGTTAAATCTCGTACTCGTACTAATCTAAAGCTCTCTACTGTTGATCATTTCACAGTCACTGGACAGATAAAGGAGAAGGGATAGCAAATGGGTAAGAGATGTAAGTTTACCGCGAGGGTTGGGGGGGTGACCCCTGATTCGTTTTGTCTTCAGTAGAGGTAACCTCTGGCATCCCCTCCCTTCCCCACTCTTCACTACAAAATTACCAATAAACCTGACAAAGGGTCTGGAGTGACAAAACCCACCTTCATTACAGTACATCTCAAATTATAAGATTTTTCATCACTAGACTCAAAACAGGCTACTGTCAAACAAATTGGGGCAGGACATATTCCCCGTAATACTACAGTCTATAGAAGTAGGATTGATCAATCACTAAGAATGCTCTTCAAGCTTGGCAGAACGTTCCCGCCAGGTCTCAAAGGGTTTTAGACGGAGAGCATTTATCATTAAAAATTATGAATCTACCCTAGTTTTACACAAGTCAATTCCTCTCTTTTGCTAACAACAATATTGCTGGGTGTTGAGTCTAAAATTTGTGTCTGGAACATCTAAATGCATGCAATTATGAGACCATATAACTAAAATTAGATTAATCAAGGAACAAAGAACAATTTAATTTCATGAATCTAACCCCACATAGCTGAATCGCCCCACTATCCACACTTATGGACCAGTTGACAACACTCTTATACACTTCCAGCAACTTTTTTGAGTTAATAAAATAACCATTAAGTTGTCAGATTAAGCAACAACAATGGTATCATATGAATGCCTGTGACCAGTCATTGACGAACAAATGGCCCTTTATGTCTTGAGCGAGCAGCAAGAGTATAATTATATCGTTGATATAAGTCCTTTTAGCCTGTTCCAGGCATTCAGATAGTAGAGCGCAGTGTTCAGATGGTGAGGATCGAACCTCCTTTTCTTTTTCCTTGTCGTTTTCCGCTCACTTTCTTCAACCTGAACACCTGGAACAGCCTGGTTATAAAACCTTTACATCATATTTAAACAAATGCTCTCTAAGAAGGACACAATTGAGACCAAACTTGGTGCGTGGACGCAAGGTCCTTTGTTCACTTAATACATGACTTGTTTAATTTACCTTAGAAGGATGAATAAAATACCGTAATTGCAAATTACATACAGTCACACCTCCTGATTTCAGTCCCTACAGATTAAATAAGTAAACACAGGACTAACAAGATCCAGTGTGTACTTATTTGATGAGGAAGGACTAAAGATATCCAGCACTTAGTGGCCACCCGGCTCTATTTGGCAGCCTGGCTTATTAAAATCCCAATGTATGTAACATCAATCAAAGTCAATTTGCTGTTAACAATATCAATGAATAGTCAAGAAAAAGGGTTATGAGGATTTCTAAAATAATTACTTAAAGGAAAATGCTTTTATCTCTTGACAAATTCTCTAATTAATTCTTTACGAAATTTATGAAGATTGACAGACTGGAGTTTTTGTATTATGCATATGGATATTGGGTCTTACCAGGTAGAGCCACTCCCTACTCGGAAGGGAGTGGCAAGGGATATTATTACCTCATTGGTACTTAATTTCGTAAGTCTTTAATTTTGCGTTCATCGCAATTGTAAAAAATTTGCAAAATCAAAGACCTGCAAATTTAAATCCTCATGAAATTTAAGAACACAACATTAATTTAACAACCATGTAGAAAATTCAAAACACAGGAAAATTAATTTTCATGAACATCAATGTAATCGCAACTTCATATAAAGGATATGTATGGAGGTTGTAGTTAACTTTTTACCTCATATGGTAACATATGTTAATGAATTTGAAACAAGGGACAAACAAAAATTAACTAAAGTAAAAAATTAACTGCAACATGGACAAATACTCAAATAATTTGAGTTATTGTTAACTGGTTTTACTGCTACGTTTCATTTTAAATCTTCAGTTATAAAATACCGTTAATTTGCGAGGATTTCACACATTTCTTGTTCCATCTAGAAATTTTTAATAAGTTCAAACTGTTTGAAAACCAAAATGAAGTTGAGAATGCAAAATCACGAAATTTAATGCCCTTTTTTTCATATTTGGCTGTTGAAATCGCGAAAATAAAACCCTGAGAAATATCGTCTCACCAAAATCGTCAAATTAAGGACCAGCAAATTATTAATAGCAATAAGGAAATAGAGGGCTAACAGGGATCTTAACAATAATTTCTACGGCATGGGTTTTAGAAGGTGAAAATATTTTTGTTGCTGGTAATCGTATAGAATAATATCATTGCCTGCTTGCAACTGTACAAATTACTCCATTGACAAAGTATAAAATTATTAAGCTGAGAGATCATTGCAAGAGCATGTTTGACCTAGGTGGGATTACAGCATCGACGGAGCAATGTTTCATTCATAGTAGAAAGGTAATTGTTGTTTAAAATTCAAATAGTTTTAAGCAACAATAACCTCCCTACAATGAATTAATTATCATTTGATCACTAGTACTGCATTACTTACATTCATGGATCGAGATAGATACCTACAGTACAGGAGGGCTGTCAATATAGGGTAGGGGGCTGGGGATTTCTCCCAGCTTCTGTGAGCATGATCCCTGCTACTTTCAAAGGAGACAAGAGGAAAATATAACCAAAAGATCATCCTTGTGGTTCAATTCTACACCTTCCAACTGCACATAGCAAAGAATGTGAAATTTTTGTGACAGTGATCCTGGTAAAGTAAGGTAAGGTAACGCCTTTATTTAAAGAGGGTTAACACGTGACAGTTAAGAAAAAACTGATTAACTTGTGGCCGCTGGTCTACAGATCATTGAATTTTCGTTTACCAAATTACGCTGAATTACACTGAATCTCTTCTACAATGCTGTCGTACATTATCAAGTTATTGCAATGTGATGTAGATATTTCTAGTCATAAGGTAATATGGTTATAGAGGGTTGAGAGGGATCTTAGCAATAATTTACACTGCATGGGTTTTAGAGGGTGAAAATATCATTGTTGTTGATAATCATACAGAAGGATATAATTGCCTTGTTGTGACTGTACAAATGACTTCATCTTAACAGAGTAAAATTATTAAGCTGAGTGATCAGTGAACGAGCATGTTTGACCTACGTGGAATTACAGCATCGGCGGAGCAATGTTTCGTTCATAGTAGAAAGGTAATTGTTGTTTAAAATTCAAATAGTTTTAAGCACCAACAACCTTACTACAATGAATTAATTATTATTTGATCACTAATGGGTACCACATTACGTTCATTTACTGCTCAAGATATATATCAGTTCTACAGTACAGGGCTGTCAATATTGGGTAGGGGGCTTGGGATTTCTCCCAGCTTCTGTGAGCATTATCCCGGCTACTTTTAAAGGAAATAAAAGAAAAATTAAGAACCAAGAGATCATCCCAGTGGGTTCAATTCTACACCTTCCAATTGCACATGGCAACCCAGGTAAAAAGTCAGGCGGGATCCCGGCGGGATCCCACTAATCCCACCTGGGATCCCGGGTGGGATTAGTGGGATCCCGCCTCTAATGGCGGGATCCCGCCATTCCCACCTGGGATTAAAAATTAATCCCACCTGGGATCCCGCCTAAAACACGGGATTATCACATCCCACCTGGGATCCTGGGTGGGATCCACACATCCCACCCGGGATCCTGGGTGGGATTCAAATATCCCACCTGGGATCACACATTGTCACCCAGGATCTTTACATACATCCCACCTGGGAACATTGGGATAATTTCACATGTACGATCCCACCTGGGATTTTAGAAGATTTATTCATACTTGCAAAAGTTAAGTCAAACTTAATTAAGAAGACTTTTAACAGCCATGTAGGTTATATATAATTATGTGTTAAACATATCTTAGCAAGAAGTCTAATTAACTTATTATTCTACATTTCTGCATGTGGAGTTAAAAATACGGCTGGAATTTATCGTCTTCCTGTACCCAATTTAATTTCAAAGGACAACTTATTGTATTAAATTACAAATGTTTTTTTATAAGCAGAAAATGACACCATCGTTCATAAATTGTCCTGTACATACATGTAAAAATGACTTTCAACAAAACAATATTTATTTTATACAAACACACAAAAAGCATACTTCCAACGTAAAAAGCAGTGTTTAAAACTAAAAAACTTAAAAATCATTTACTACAATTTTTTTTGTGCTTGCAGATAGTTTCTTAGTGAGAAGATTTTTGTAAAACATTAATGAATCGCTACATCCATCATTCCTGACTTAACTTTCCTTTCTAGCTTTTCCCTAGAGTTTCTTCACTTGAAATGATACCTCCATGCATCATTTTCTTCTTTTATATTAGCTTCGATCCTTCGTCTTGATTATGGACGACTCCTGAATAGAAATTCATGGTCAAAACTGCGAAACGCTAGCTGCAGTCCTCGCTGTTTGTCAGCCATTTTGTTTCCACTAGTTCCCAGGGAAGCCCGTGAGTTCAACACATGCGTATTCAGCGTTTTATCGTCACATGGGCCTTTTCAACCAATGAAAAGGTGTGAAAATTGGCTGATTCCACGCGGGCACTTTCAAGTCAAAGAAGACGAACTGTAAAGCATGCGTCTTTACAAGAAGACGCTTCTTTTTACTTCAATTTAAAGTCGTTTTCCTGCCAGGTTCAACAAAAAGTATTCCTAACGTTGGTAAGTGATGTTTTTCTCAACTTGAGTTTCGATTTACCCGTGTTGTCTCCCCTTTTCGCGTACCTGAACAAGTTGGATCGGTCACCTTCGATCACGCTTCGATACTCGTTCGTTTCAATTCTAAAACGTCAGGTTGTTTTTGTGTTCATTTGCCTTAAAATCTCAACTTTTCTGTTTGCAGATACTTATTCGTTGCAGTCAAAAGAAAAGTGTATAGCACTGAAGAGCACGACATCAGCCAAAAGTCTACACGATAAGCAAATTAAGCAAACTTTAACTTGGGGTTTCGAATGAAACTTCTCCATGAAAATACTGCATTTGTGTTGTTGTGGTTTTTTTTTCCAAAGATTTAATCACATATTTGAATGTTCTGCAATGACTGAATATTGTATATGTAGACTTATTAAAGTTGCATTTTATTCAAGACTTACATGTATATTAACTCTATTTTCCTAATAAATTTGCAGATTAAGTTGAAAATATGGTGCAGAAGTTATATGTCTTCAAATCCCTCTACGATAAATATCAATTTCCTGTGTATGACAGGGTGGGATAGCAGGATCCCATCAATTTAACAACCTGCATTCGATGCTGCCAGGAAAGGTAGGATATCCCATCTGATATCACAGGTGGGATATCTTTGATCCCACCCGGGATTTCAGGCGGGATCCCGGGTGGGATTGGCGGGATTTTTACAAATCCCAGGTGGGATGGTTTCTTGGACCCCACCCAGGATTTCAGGTGGGATCCCAGGTGGGATTGGTGGGATCCTAGTTGGGATCCCAGGTGGGATGCCTCCCGGGACGTTCCATAATCCCGGGCGGGATCCCAGGAGGGATCCCGCCTATTTCTGGCGGGATCCCACCTGGGATTAACCTGGGATCCCAGGTGGGATTGGCGGGATCCCGCCTCACATTTTTACCTGGGAAGGAATGTGAAATTTTAGTGACAGCTGTCCTGGTCTACAGCTCATTGATTTTGTTTATGAAATTATACTGAATTACACTGAATCTCTTCTACAGTGCACGTACATTTTCAAGTTATTGCCATGTGATATAGATATTTCTAGTCATAAGGTAATGGGTTAAAGAGGGTTGACAGAGATCTTAAGAATAATTTACACTGCATGGCTTTTAGGAGGTGAAAATATCATTGTTGCTGGTAATCATATGGAAGAATATCATTGCCTTGTTGTGGCTGTCAAATGAGTCTATCTTAACAGAGTAAAATTATTAAGCTGAGTGATCAGTGCACGAGCATGTTTGACCTACGTGGAATTACAGCATCGGCGGAGCAATGTTTCATTCATGGTAGAAAGGTAATTGTTGTTTAAAATTCAAACAGTTTTAAGCAACAACAACCTTACTACAATGAATTAATTATTATTTGATCACTAGTACCACATTACTTACATTCATTGATCGAGCTAGATATCTACAGTACAGGGCTGTCAATATAGGGTACATGTAGGGGCTGTTGAAATCGTGAAAAAATAACCGCGTGAGATAATTATTGTCTCACCAAAATCGTCAAATTAAGGACCCGCAAAATTTAATACCAATAAAGTAATGGATGGCTGACAGGGATCTTAACAATAATTTACACTGCATGGCTTTTAGAAGGTGAAAATATCATTGCTGCTAGTAATTATACAGAAGAATTATCATTGCCTGGTTGCGGCTGTACAAATGACTCCATGATATACAGAGTATAAAATCATGAGTGTGATCAGTGCACGAGCATGTTTGACCTAGGAGGAATTACAGCATCAGTGCAGCTGTGTTTCATTCACAGCAGAAAGGTAATCGTCGTTTAAAATTCAAATAGTTTTAAACAACAATTACCTCACTACAAAGAATTAATTATAACTTGATCACTAGTACCAAATTACTTTCACTTTACTGATCGAGATACAGTACAGCTCAGAGATAAGCGACCAACCCACACGCAAAAACACATGCACGTTTTTTGTGTTAATGCAAAAATCTAAATATCTTTTTTGCTGCAAGTAACAAAAGATTGAATTAATGATTGATTGTAAAACCTTACCAGAACCACAGGCAAACCAACCTTATTCCATCAGTAGCATCCTTGCGTCTTTCCATTTCATACCGTGGCACAGGTTTCCAACCAAATTCAAGCCGCCAACGGAAAATACCCCGATGGAATGGTTCCGGAACAGCATGATAATAAAAGTTCTGATCACTTATTTCATCTATGACAGGCATGACTACATTGGAGCGATTTTCAGATATTCTAGCAAGTAGAGGAACAAGCCAGCCTTTAGAACACTCACAATGAGCATCTAAAAATGTCAGCACATCTCCCTTGGCTTCCGCCGCTCCTTTAAGTCGAGCACGAATGAGACCTTCTCTCTTTGGAAGTCTGATAATTCGAATAATTTTTAATTTGGCTACATAGTCCTCAAGCTTAGTTTTCAGTTCATCTGCAAGAGAAGACAAGAAATAACATCCCATCAAAGATTGTTAAGGAAGTCAAAGGGAAAGGTATGTTATTAAAGAATAACTATATATCACACATTTACATGTACTTATACTACTACTTATTTTTGAGCAAGTTAAGGTAGGCAAGGAACAGTACAGCGATCATCATCTTTGTAAATCTAATACATACCTCTTTCACTTGAATCATCAACCAGAATAATTTCTTTGAGTAATTGTGGAGGAGTCCTGTTTATAACACTATGCACTGTTCTTAGTAAAGTTGACCAAGCTTCATTGTGAAAACAAATAATAACAGTGCTTGTAGGAAGAGGTAGTGCATACTTCTTTGATTTACATCTGTTAAAATAAAAAACAGCAACAATGTATCTGTTAGGGTAGGCAGTGTGGTTGAAAAGTTACAGGCTTACAGCGCCGGACATGCAATCAAGACACAGTCAAGGGAGTTCAAGTTAGCCCGGAGGAAATACGATGCCTATTCAGCCCAGTCAAAATGTGACGGCAGCCAGCGATTTCACAGCCTACAACAAAATGTCTGCCGCCTACTTTCTAATAAAATTCATTGAGATGAGGTCTCTACTAATTCAATTGATCGAATCACAAAAGCCACAAATATTCGAAGAAATATACACGAATGGGTCATCTTGCCTACTTCTCAAAAACATTTTGACAGGGCTGCCTATTATGTAACATCAAAAATAAGATACAGCCTGTAACATTAAAGCAAGTATATACATGTAAGGTAGATCTTAGCAAAGTCACACTTGTTAAAGCTGCAAAGGCTTTTTTTGTACCATTTATCTGGGAAATCTGCATCTTATCTAAAATGCATATTCTGTAAGATGTACTTATTAAATTGTCCTGAGGCCCTATAGTTTCACATCCCTCTTATTTTTTGATAAAGAACGTATCCAGACAAAACTTCAAACAATTCTAACATGCGATTACAAAATATACACTTACATGTACTTTTGAAATAAAGAATAACTGGTAAGATTTCCGTATAACCAAATACATTTATTATGCATACATGTTTCGACTCTATTCATATTAAACTATTTGTGAGAAAAAGTATGTAATAGCAATTAAAATGTATGGGGTTATACGGAAATCTCAAATAACTCGACTTAAGCCTACAGTGTAATCCAGAAGAACACAGGAAAAAAATCCATCTAAACGGCTTTCTTGTGATCATTTTCTGCTGTGATGCAACGAAACGCTTAATGTACAACAATTACAATAATATCAATTCAAGTTGTGCTGAGTAATGTCCGCGCGATGGTTACCGCCCAATGAAGCTATGGAAACAAAGCCTACAATTTTCAACCGGATGCCCTATATTTTGCTTACCGACAGTTTACTCGGCACACTTAAAAAGTAAAATTAATAAAATGACAAGCTTGCATACATGTATGAATTAGCCGAGGTTCAAAATCTTACTTGTAATTTCTCACATCAGGTAAGTTCCGCTCTAACGAAATCTTGTCGCTTGCAACGCGGTTAAATGCATGATCACTGAAGCCTTTTTCTTCTCTTTTCTTTTCCAAAAAATTTAGCGACACTGCAGCGCCCCATTCCCCGGGTTTATCGGGGTTTCTATCCGGAGTTCTATCGTACATGAGAAGGCTGTACATTATTCCATCGTCGTCATTCGAGGTATCAGCACCCGCCGAGAGTTCGTTGCTAAAAATATGATACGTGGCCAAATATATCCACACAGAGGAGGTGATCACTACAAAGTAGAACACGATTCGTCTTTTTGGAATTATCATGGCTGGAATTATCAATAATCAACGAAGCAAGATGCATCGTTCCATACACCTAAGCACTTCTGCATATTCGTCACATGTGGGTAAACGGAACATTCCAAAGTCGACAAATCACGCTATTGTTTGGCTTCGAACTACCCATTCACGAATAAAATAATACTCGCTGACAAGGCATTTATCTACTTCTAGCTTTTGGCTCAATGACGAAAAGAAACAAGTGAAAATACTGAGTAACTTCTTCAAGCAACCGGCATCGCGGCATCGTCGAATCGGATTGTACGTGGAGCCGTTTCAGACCAGCGGCTGGGAACAAAGATTAGTAGAGGGGTGGGGTGAGACCAAGCTATTTTGTCGAGTTGGGAGAGGAGACTAGTCAAACCATCCCTAAAATGTTATCAAATAAGGTCCTAGATTCATAAGGTAAACAAATTAAAAAGTTGATGTTTTCGAGCGCTAGACCTACAAAAGAAGAATCAGAATCGAAAAGCTTGGTGTTCCTGAGCTAAATAAGGCTTACAGAAAAAAAAACAGTAGCCGAGCTAGATTAAAAAAATTGAATGTATGATTGAAAGACTGATTGCACGATAAAAGCTGCAATTTCCCAGACAAAAAATTATACTTTAAACTAGTTATGCACATCCACTCTTGTTATATTGTTGTGTTTATAGTAAACAGTGAGTACAGCGTGCAACCAAGTCCAAACAAGGATCTACAAGAGACGATTACCGTTCCTGGGATCTAGCTACTATTGATTGAACAGCGATTAAAGCCGGTTCTATTGTCCTATTAGGTCTCCTTAAAACTACCTCTCAACCATCACCTTGCTTTGAAACCATTCTTTACAAAGTAAAAGGCGACATTATAACAGTTCGCTGGATTGACACGTACATCGATACGAATGAAGTTTTCTTCTTCAAAACGTCAGTGTAAATTAATAAATGAGTCCGTGAACTGGTGACTTAACTTTTCTAACCGCTTTGTTAAGACCGGTTCCTTGCTTTGAACGGCAAGTTTTACAACTTCAAATCGACCACAAGAAACAATGAGTTTCGGAAAGGACGATAACCTTAAAATCTGTCACAAGAAAATGCGGACTTTAGCCACCGTGACTAGTGCTAATCTTTGACTAGACCCAATATTCCTACTTAGTTTGGCATCCAATAAAGGTAGTGGTTTAGAAGCCTATAAAAAGGTAAAGGTAGGTCAAGACGCACAAGGGCCAAAGGCCAAGGCCAAACGGCCGTAGCTTATCCCGGTTCCCTCGCATGAAACATGCCTATTAGTATTGCTACTCCCCCCTGGACGGGATGCCAGTCTATCGCAGGCTTACCCCCCAACAGTGTGTCGCTGATACCAATGGCAACTCGGTGAAGAGAGACAAAGTGGAGTAAAGTTCCTTGTCTAAAAACACAAGGCGATGGGCAAGGCTCCGTACCTCCGGATCCGGAGATCGAGGTGTTAGTCGCTCGGCCAGACGCGCCTCCACTTTACAAGCCTAAAGTATATATTGAACTTACCCACTGTTTCGGTGGTCTCGCAATTTACGGTGAAAAGAAATCATGTCACTGGCCACACGGTTAAATGAATGCTGATCGAACCCTTCGTCTTCTTCCGCTTTTCGTGAGGCAGGAACGGAGACCCCAGCGCCTCCTGCCCCAGGCCCCTTCAGCTTAGCCCCTGGGGGGAACCTCTCGTAGTTCGCTGTAATAAACACAAGCCTCCTTGGAGAGTCATTTGGAATAATAGTGTCTTTTTCGGAGTTTGTTGTGATAACAGGCACGATATGTCTTTTCGTTTCACTTGGTTGGTTTGGTTCACCTCTGTTTGATTCCGAATCCCTGACTGAATTAACAGATTGTGCGTTCAATTTTGGTATTTGAAGCGGGAGAATTTCTTCGGGTGTTCGACGCTTGATTTCAATACTGACATCCAGTGATTGGATAAGAAAAAACGAGACTGTTCCAAGAATCCAACAAAATGAAGTAGCGACTACTGTATAGTAGACCAGTGATCTCCTAGACTGAAACAGGGCCATAATTTACCACCTAGGACAAAGACAGCTGTACTCGAAGACATAGTTATCTTCCCATTTCTGGTTCACAGAATAATTACAAGGAAACAGAGCTCTGAGAAATTCTAGATATGCTCGAAACAACGAAAAAAAAAGTTTCCGCCACCAACAAACTGCATACACTTAACGGAACAATGGAAGCTTTTCGAGGGGTCACGTGTGAGGGCAGGTTGTGTGACGTGTACCTGTAAATTCGAGGCTAGTTACCCGCCTTCCCACAAGTCAATTTATATCACTTCAACGCCTTTTCACTGTAACCCGTTGTAATGTTGAGTGGCAATACGCTTTAAATGAACGCTTATCACGAATTAAGTGTTTTCGTCTCGACGTATAATTGAATTATCTTCGAAATAGTTTACTGGGTTTTTAAGGCCAGTGCCCGGCAGGTCAAGAATTCGGGCCTATAAATGACCCTGGGTGTTACTTTTCAAGTGCCGTCCTCTTGAATGTGAAGGGCTTCTTTTAATCGCTTTAACGACTCCGTGCTGATTAATTTTTCAACTGAAAATTTGACGCCGTAAATTGTAGGTCGGACTCGGTACACAATGTTGCTGCAATTTACAATGATCTCTTAACCGTTTCCTCCAAATCGCTTTACCATCCTCGAGTCAGTACCACCAAGTCATTTCGCCCATGTTTAAATCTAGAAAAAAAGAGCAAAAGCAAGTTTTAAAACAAGGAGTCAAACACATGTTAGTTCTTTTCCAAGGTCATTTTGTTCTGCTGTCTATCAATAAACTTTCTGTTTTGTTTGCAGTAAGCCCCGATTTTCCGATTGGGAAACCTGAATTTTGCTTACATCCTGTACACTGAAAATTAAAAAGATCTGCTTCAGTCCTAAAGTGCCAATTCCCTGCAGGCCAAAGTCTGATTCAGCTCCTTCTTGAGCAATTTGAGCACAATTTAGGCCAAAAAAGCTCAATCAAAAGGCTATTCCAGCCCACCCTGGGGCCCATTTCAGCCTTTGGGTACAAATCAGCCGTAGGCAGGAGCCAGTATTGGCGGAGCCAAATAAGACTCAAGAGATAAAACTGTATTTTATTCACCGCGCGAAACGGTCCCATTTTGAGGACTATAACAGCAATTTTGATTTCATAGTGTATCTATCAAGATGTGATTCGGTTTTCCCAACAAAATCGATCATTGTTGCACCACAGTCTCCTTCAGAGATGGATTTAAATTGAAAAAAATATTTTTGAGGATTTCACATTTCACCACAAAATATTCGGACTTTCTCTGAGAGGCAATCAAAAGCAACCTGTCATACATGACATGCCTTTGTTGCTTGATCTGAACTAAACACCTGATAAAAAGTACTGTAAAGATTGTATCTTCAAAAGTAGTACAACAGTCTCCGAACAATTTGACATGTATAAGTTTGATAGCCCGTAATTTTGCAGATTTTGAAGTAATTAACGTATGAACAAAGTTAGACTATGGTTTGAGAACTCTCATTTTGCTCGCATGTTCGATACTGTGACAGATAATCTGTCAATATTTGACCTCCGAGACTATTCAAAACTTAAGTAAGGAACCGGTGAAATAGTATTTTTACTGTAAACTTTATTATCGCTGTGAACACCTGTGCTATTACGCGCGCTGTTGATAACATAGTGCATCTGTATCATGTACTAATGTCCCGGGGGGGGGAGGGCGGGGGCGGTACTCGATATATCCCTGGGTGGCGAGGTGCGGCCCCTCATACCCTGAACCTGTTTAGGACAAATATCGCTGATTTTCCTTCCCGTGTTTAAGACAGAATCCCGATTTTTGATACCCTGTTTAAGACATTGATTAACGTTAGAGCTTGTAAAAATTTTGCTGTTTATCGTCCAAGAAAAGATATCCTGTTTAAGACAAAAATTGGTTCCTCTTTATATACATCAGTATCCCTTCACACACTTGTAGTGTATAGGTAAAATATTAGCGTTCCGTCGGGACTACCGGCCTAGAGGAGATCTCAATTTGCAATTCACGCCCCTAAAGTAGCGAGCATGGCAAGCGTGCAAAGGGGAGGGGGAGAGGAGATTGGGTCTAAAGCCCAGATAAGAAAAATCCCTGTCTGTTTCATAGGGGAGTTCCCCCCTCCCCCCAATAAGGCGTTAAGGCCAGGAGGGTTAGCGGTTAGCCTGAGTGTTTAATCCCCAAAAGGAAGGCCTTAGGCTATAGTCGGCACTTAATGCGTGAAGCGAGGAAGCGTTACATGCTACTTCCTGTTAAAGTAGCATTGGCAAGTAGCATTTACAAATAACAAGTACGGTATTAAGATACCGTACTTGTAACTGATATTTATAGAACAGATAGCATCATGATGAAAAGATCATACATCAACAGCTAACAGTTAGCAAGAGCAAAGAGGGAATTTTTCAACTGGTGACCTGGAGACCCGCTGATTGTATGATCTTGTACAGTCTCTGAAAACGTGCCTTCGGGATAGCTCTATTCCAGAGTCTGGAATCAGCATTCTATCCATACACAAGGTATCGCAAAAATGGTTATAAGTGCACGCTAATCCAGTAACTTCCTATCTAATAAATGAAAAGTATTAGATTTACAGCCAATGATAAAATCTCAAAGTCACGAATAAAATGCATAATTGCACTCAGTGAGCGTATGCACTTGCGAAGTGAAAGTTTCCTCGAAAATGAGACATGACAAATTACTTTTGCAGTCGGTTTCTTCCGTTTTTCCCAAGGTATTTCTTAACTATCACATGGAAATGACAAGTTGTTTCTGCTTACCGGAACACGAAATGAGCCAGCAAAGTATAAATAAAACGATGAATACTTCAAATACTTACTTCAACCAGTCAGATCCTCTGAAAAAAACAACACCAATACACAGACACTGGTTATTCCGAGTTATTTAAACGTAGTTATTGCCCGAAAAACATAAAAAATAAACCGCGGCATCAAGAGGATTCCTTCGGTCCTCTCTAACATTCTGACACCGGAAAATGGCGGAATTGAAATGGTCATCTGAGAAATGTCCATCGGAGCTGCCCTTGGCACAGTTAATCTATTAATCACGGACCATATGGGTCAGTCATTTTACAAAGTGCAGACATATTAGAGACTGACCGGAAAAGCACACTCACGAAGTTGAACAGGTAGGGTCATTTAACAGATCCTTTACCATGCCCCGGGGATCGAAGGCAGGGCTGGCAGGGGGTAATGCAAAATTTAGCCTCCCACGCAGACGTTTTCAGGGGAGCTCGTGTATCATCCCTGTGATGAGGGACGAAATACGAGCTCCCCTAAAAAGGCCTGCGTGGGAGGCTATGCAACTATTGTTTCCTCTTTTATAAATCCACACTGGGCGTGCATTAATCGCCAAACTCCAGGCCCCAGTTCTTCAAAAGGAGGATAACCGTTACTATCCACCGGGTAAATCACTATCCACTAGATAGCGCAATTAAAGCTACCACATAGCTAGCTGCCACGAGCAATTTTCATCATGGTTCATGCAAAGAGAGAAAAAATAACCTGCTTTAAGTTTTCAATAATAAAAGCTTGAAATTTGTGTGGCATACGCATTGTCTTCATCTTCTCTTGGAACTTTCAATCGTCCCGAGAGAAATGTAAACAACGCGCATGCAAAACTGCTTGCGCGTGTGCTTATCCACCAAAACTTTCCCAGAATTGTTTCGCCGAAAGCTTCCCATTAAAGTTCCTGTAATGCAGGATATATACAAATATATACTAAAATAGCTCGCGTAGCAGGCGCTTGGAAATAGTGTGCGCAAGAAAAAACGGGCGCGCGAAAAGGAGACACGCGAGGGGAGAGGGAGCTCTGTCACCCCTCGCGTGTCTCCCTCGCACGCGCCCGTTCTCTCTTTTGCCCACTACTTCCCAACCTCGTCCCCAGAAGACCCTGGGGACGAGGTTGACTACTTCCAAGCACCTGCTACGCAGGCTAATAATAAGAAAACTCTGGAACTGAAAGGATGTTTACAGCGAGAATAAAAAAACAAACTGCATGTGACAACACTTTTTATTATGCACTCCTGTCACTAGATTTTCATAGGCTAGTCAGGCACACTGCTTATTTGCCTTATTTCAGCTGATACTCTTTTGATGCGTTGCTTTAATCTACAGAATACTTTAAGCGCAGTGAAAAATGACACTATTTTCTTGGCAATAGTGTTTTAAAGCTACCGCATAACTAGCCGCCGCGAGCAATTTTCATCATGGTTCCATGCAAAGAGAGAATTAAAAACCTGCTTTAAGTTTTCAAAAATAAAAGCTTGAAATTTGTGTGGAAACGTTTAGTATTTGTTAGCTGTAAGCTTAAAACAAAGTCGTATAGAAGTTGATGTGTTATTGATTTTTAATTTTTGGGCACACTTTGTGATGTACAAAAATAATGTTTAGGAATGAGCATACAAATGGTGTATTCAGTTACACGATACTGGGGATTGCAAAGCATTAGTTTGTGTTATCCACCTGATCAAAACAACATAGACCTATGCCTTGTTATCTTTCATTATTATTCCTTCAAAATAGACAAATTTGCATTAGTTCAGTTGTTTTCTTAGAGCCGCAGAAAATGGCCGAAATATCCACTTTGGAGAGGAAGATACACCCGAATTTCTGCCTATAAACATAGCAAAACCAGCAATACAACTACAGTGTAAACTTATGACATCTGCTATTTTGAGAATATATGCTAGACTGAAGCTCCCTTTATATCCTGAATTGTCCGGGGAAAAGATAAATGACGTCGATCTAGGTAAGCATGTTTTTAAGTAAGAATTCGTTGCAATGAAAAAATAAAACAAAAATTGGATTCTGTTTCAGGCCCTTGATCGACAGAATTCTTCAGATCATATGAAAGCTGAATCCAATTACTATCAACTATCTTCTCAACCTCATCCAATAATTATATCAATAATGATAACTACATTTCTAAGCTAATAACAAGGATTATTTATTCAAAGTATTTCTCTGTTTTCGATTGGTTTAGATCCCCCACAAAAGTTTTCATCACAAGCTACGTACATGCAGTACAGGCTAAAATTGGGTAGCCTGTGAATACATTCATCTCCACTCATTACCACTCGTTACTATAAATAGGGATGTCTCTAGCGGCGAGAAGCAAGGAGAGAAGGCTGTATTCACGAGCTAAAAATTGGGAGATTTGCCTTACAGTATGTCAAGTATCCAATGTTATTAGATAATAGGCCACTTCCGAGTTGCTCCACGCCTCTGTTTCACATCAAGGCTAAGGGCGAAGCCGTTGACGTGGACATGTTCTTTTATTAATTCTCATGCAAATAATGAACTATTATTAAACGAGGTTGAGCAAAATATCCTGATTTGTCAGTGGCGGGCAGATCAATTATTTGCCGAAGCCGAGGGCTGAGGTAAATAATTGATCTGTGAGACACTGATAAAACACGATATTTTGCGATACCCAACTTCAATAATTATTGCTTTATCATTCATCACTGAGTTTGTTTTTTTAAGGAATATCTTCGGGAAGTGAAGCAATCTGCCATTTTCACTCGAGAGCAATGGCAACAAGGAGAAAAGCGTGGTTTCATTTACACATAAGAAGACTATTATTTGCAGCCAAACAAAGTTGGATGACAGTGCGCATGAGCAGACCATTATTTGTAGGCACTTATTTGCAGGTCACGAGGTGAGCTCTCGGCCAATGAAAAGGAAGAAAAATTTGCAACGAATGATAAAACTCATTATCAGAAGGAAGTTTTTGCACTTAGCCTCGTTTTGAAAGTAAGGATTTTTGGAACTCAGAAATGGCCTACTGACAACATGTTTTTGGTCCAAAATTACATGGAAAGAAGGTGCACTTCAGACAAAGGTAGCTGAGTTTGGTATCTGGAGAGCATAAAAATGCCAAAAAGAGTTAAAACACATACTCTGAAGTGTAGATGAAATGATTGTAAAAGAAGTTACACATTAAGTACACTGCAGTATGTTAAAACTACTGAGTAACAGGCAATTGTTTTATAAAAACAATTGTACATTAATATAAGGATTTTTAGCATGGAAATAATTTGAATAAATAATAATGAAAAAATAACAATGATTATCAGTTAGAGAGTGTTTAACACTATTATTTGATCTGCATAATTCTTTATAATTATGATATTCAGCCTCGCCCAACAATTTATTGTTTGTTCCTATATTGTTACCTTGAAAAGCGACTTGACAGCTTGGAATAGAAAGCACTTAGATACAAATAATATTATAACAATGTCCAATGCACAAATTACTATGATTTTTACACGCAGTTTAGACTGCAAAACAGTCCTTTTGGCTATCCACATTTGCAAGGAAATTGTGATCTTACTCCCTTTTCAGCCATATTTAAACAGTTCAGTTCTTCTGTTCTAAATGCGGGAATGAAAAATGTTTGTCTCCAAACATATTAAAAGAAACTGCCTTGAAGGTCAAAAGAAAATAGAATTTAAAAATAACATAATCATTGAATGAGAGCATCATTCTTAGAGCTCCAGACATCACCAAGTATCTCCTGGATTTCATAGGGCTGGAGCATTCAGCGTGTACCAAGGTTTAGGTTAGTTTAGCTTCTCCTTAGAGCATCAAATTTATTTTCCAAATCCAGTTCTGGACGCCGATCAGCTAAGCTTGTGAGAGTTCGTGAACCATGTTTCACAGTTTCAAAATTCTTTCCTCCATTGCTGGTCTTTTCACTGATAAAATCAATAAAAACATTTATGTAAGAAGTGTGTATTGAGTTATTATTTTCAGGTGTTTGATTGAGCCGCTATTTTCAGAATTAGTAGAATAATAATATTATTCTACTAATTCTGAAATTGGAATAGCAGGTCAATCACACAACTGAATTTAATAATAATAAAATTTTTATATTATTCAATACATTCTGTTCAAGAATCTCAGTGATAATCTGAGAAATGGGCCACTTTACTTAAAGTGCAAGCACAAACTGCTTGCTTCTGTTTTGTTTGGGAGCTGTTGATTTTTTGCATTAATAGATTTCGAGGTACAGACAGTGTAAGCAAGTAGAAACAGACAATATTAATGTCCCAAGGTTTTGGCAATCTCTTGAGGCCATTATCAAGGAATGAGTACAAACTGATTCAATCTTAGCCTAGGTTATGAAAATTTACACAACTTTTACTCTTTTCAAACTCTCTTTCTTTTATTCATTCCATGATAATGGCTTCATGAGGTCACCAAAGCATAGGAGCATCATTAGTTGTTATACTTGCTAATACTAATATTTTTACTGTTCAATTATATCAATCCTTTCAACCCAGGATGCGTTATTGTTCACACTGTCCTCCATACATCTAATACAGTCAAACCTCTTTAATACGGACACCAAAGGGACAGAACCAAGTGTCTGCTTACAGAGGCGTCCATATTATAGAGGTAGGGAATGTATGATTTTTGGCATTTCTAGGACCAAATGAACTGTCCGTAATACAGAGGTGTCTGTATTATAGAGGTGTCCGTAAGGAGAGGTTAGACTGTACATGTATTTTGTATGTCACCAATAAGAGGTATTTGTTAAGCATGTCTTGTAGGACACCATTTTTTCAAGAAGAACTCACCCTTTAGCAGATGCCATGGAAGCTGATAAAGAAGGAAAAGCAATTTCGCTATCAATTTCTGGTGTTTTTGACTTGCCCATTGTCGCTGGGCCCCTCCTCCCAGGAGCTCTGTAAGCAGGTGGTCTGTATGCTCCTACGGGTTTAGCTTCTTCAGCTGGTTGTGCAGCTATGTACATTTAATACAAATAAACAAAAGAAAAAATATTAATCCTGTAACATGTAGATGTAGATACAGTCCAGTCATCATCTAAAATTCGCCCAAGTCTTGTCCCAAAAAAGCCACTCAGGTAAATAAACCCTGATGCTAATTAAAGAAAAAAATTCATATTGATACCACATTTAAGGCCCAAACCGAAAAAAATATATATATTCAAGGGAAAAACAAAAACTCACTTGCACACACCTGTTTAAATTCTAATCATCAAACGATTTTCTGACAGTTTGTAGGCTATTATGTACTCAGAATTTTAGCAGATACAATTTATGTACTCTGTCACTCCAGGATAACTCCAGGAGCAAAATGCTAACAATACCCTATCTAGGGTTTGAGACCTTCAAAAACTATACTCTACTGGGGGACACATACCTATCTAGCACATGTATATTGATTAAAGTAACGATGCTGATGTTTTGCAGAAGTTGATTTGGAGCAGAAAAATCTGTTATACAAATATTGTGGTTTCTAGTCTTATTATGAGAAGTGAAGATGTGCTTCTTGAGAAATGATGTATTTCATTGCGTTTTCATTTGGTTACATGGTAACATTTTTTATTGTTTATTACTCTGAGATACGTCCTCTGACATATCTCCAAAATATTTCTGTGCAAATGTCCCTGAATTTCAATGGACTATGGCCTTTTCTACGGTAACTTCTGGATTCAAGAAGTAGTTCATCAATGTACCTACGTTTACCACCATTCCACGATTAAGAAGAAGCAAAGTTTGCTTTAAGTTTAATATTTCAAAATGTGACCTCTCGCCCGAAAACGTGACAGACAAATATGCAAAGAAATGATGTTAAACTGAAACATTTTGCAAACATCTGAAAATGTTTCCTGAATGCTTCCGAATGATTTTCAAATGGTTTTCAACATTTTAAGGTTCCATTGGATAACATTACTAACCCTTCAAAATGCATTAGGAATGCGTTGAAATTCATTCCAATGTTTCAGAATGCGTTTGGCTCGATGCTATTTCCATTAAGCCCGGCTTTCTCAAATAGGGCAAGGCTGTGCTCTAAGGAGAATTGAAGGGCGCCTGGTGCTATGAACCTGTAAAATCTAGGGTGCCCAGCATATGATTTGTATGAAAAAACTGAGATTTGCTAGTTGCCTGAGGGCAAAAGTTAGGTGCCAGGGGCCACCGGGCTCTGCTAGAGCACAGCCCCATAGGGTTACATTTATCGTGAACTATTTCAATACAGCATATAGTGCAGACTGGAAAAGCACTTAGTTTCTTAAATTACCCCACTAACAAAGACACCCAGAGGTCCAATGCTTTCTTAAACCGCGGCCTAAGTTAGACTTCATTTAAATAACCGACCCTTAGTCTTTGGTGTATTTTGGTTGACAATATTGGCTGTTACTTACCAGTGCTTGCCGATGCTGTTGCTGCTGCTTGGGCTTGTTTCCATGGTCCTGTAGTTTTGTCTTTCGATAATGATGATTCCCCTGTAAGGAAAATGAAACAAAATATCTTAGTACCTGAAATTTTTACCCTAACAAGAAACATGATCCAAAAACTAAGTGTCGCAAAAAATAAGTGAAGCAAGAAGAAAGTACAGTGGAACTGCTATTATCATTAGAAACAATTCATCAGAGTTATAAGTGTGCGAGAGATTAAATGGCATTACATTGTCAGGTCATCTGATATTATGCAATGGTGCGATTTCGCACAATTGACCTCAAATCGCATCCGATCGCACAATTTGAGGAAAATCACATAATTCGTAAAAAAATGCTAAATTCAAGGAAAGTAAACAATGAATTCTAACTATAATTAAACATTTTCCCAATCTTAATGTTAGTCAAGGTGATTTACCACTAAACAAAGCCTTGCAAGGCATCTGAAACCTTTGATTGCGGTATCTGGGCAGCCATTTTGATTTCAGAGACAAGTAGGGTGGTCAGCGGTGCAAAGGTGCCATGTAATATTAAGCAAGTGTCCTTTTTCTTTTCCAGGTCAAAATAATCGGACAAATTAAACTATTTTGTTTTAAAATAAATGTTTTATTATTCCTTTACATTCAAATTGCCTGTTAAACAACATTTAAGTGGTTTTTCTCCTTTGAAACCTGGTAAAACAATGTAAATTAGCCCTGAAAAAATTGCATAATTTATCGCATAATTGTCCTATCTTATCGCACAATCTACCCTGAAAATATCGCACAATTTCTGATTTTATATCACACCCTACCAGATGGCTTGCATTATACTTTTCTTTACAAACCTTAATGGTTACCACTTTTCAGAGCAAATGGAGAAGGATAATGATAAATACATGTATTCATTCAACACCAAGTAGAACATAAGACGAAGACTTAGTAGTATATTAAACATAAACAACTCCTCACAACTGTCTGTTGATACTGTTGACATACACTGCAAGGTCATTATTTTACTGGTGCTGATGTTTTTGAATCAAGTTATCATACCTGAATTTGAAAAATGTTAAAAACCACATTGTCAAGGAAATAACAAACTTGGAAATGCCACATTGGTAGAGTCTTAAAATATTCATGTAAGAGCACTTCTGAATGCGACACCAACACAAAGCCATCAAATACATGTACTGCAGATGACCTCTAAATCCTAAAATAAGTACATGTAAATGACTGTGTTGCAAAGAATTCATGTATATGTAATAAGGTAATAAAGTGCACAGACAATGATTTCCTTACTCAAAAAACCTAAAAATTGCCTTTTGCTGATTTTTTTTCACCTAATTTAACATCCAATGGCCAGATTTGGTTGTTTTATGCTGAAAATTGGATTTTTCTCAAAAAACTTTGTACTGTACTTTACTTAACCAATTCAGCCTTGGAAATCTTGCCGAAAAACACATTTTGAAGCTAATCAAGTAGGTTTTTGGTCACTGTCATGCTATTAAGAGCTAAAAAACTTACCACAAAGCCGTTTGCACGGCCTTCTGATCCAGATGCAAAAATATTACCTTGCAAAGTTTGGGCATGTGCAGAAATCAAAATTTTGAGGTGGTTTTTGGGTTTAAAATTGGCACAGCAGTCTTGACCTCTATTTTTCGCTTTCTGCCCTTCCTTCTTCTTTCGTTTGTCTTGCCTCATTTTGTTTTCTTTTGCTGGGCATTAAGTAGGCTTCATTTTGGTAGGAAAAATCTTTTGGAAAGCTTTTAGGATCTTACAACACAACATGTAGGATTAGATGAAAGGAAAGTTATGTGGGTACAGTGGAACAAGATTTTCGTGGAAATTTTCATGTCCATGTTACATGGTGTTTTGTCTTTTTCTCTGGTGTTGTTAACTGAATTGTGCTCATTCTCACATGGTTTGAAATGATGGATCCACAAGGGCGGTTGCTGGCAGCTCAGGGGCGAATGGCTTAAAGCCATAAAGCACCACAGCTTGACATAATTATTGTAGAGCTGAAAACAACATTGCTAAGTTTACAGTCAGAACTGTTTAAGTTGAAGGATAATTGTTCTGAGGATGCAAAAGCAAGAGTATAGTACCTTCATCATCCTCTTCTTCTTGATCATTTCCTTCAGGATTTTCACCTTCAGTGTTCTCACTTTAAAAGAAATACAAAAAAGAGACAAAATTTTTTATGAGACCACCATAGAGTTCTACCATGATAATTAAAAAAAAATGCTTCTTTTCTCTTTACATTTCCAACGGCCTCTGTGAAACATGTTTAATTTTGGGGGTCTAGCTAGTGTAATTTTTGCTTGTACTTTCTTGGTTTAGCCGTCTGCCAGCTGAGAGACACTGGGCAAGGGAGCCGGATCAAAACTGAAAGTGATGTTATTGACTCCTGATCCAACTCTCTTGTAATGTTGCAACTAGAATCTAGAATTAACTTTTTTCCTTTATGTGGAATTATATCATTGTTCAAAAACAGTAATTGACCACTACAGAAAATACCATAACATACCGTAATGCTCTTTGTCTGTCACCCCAAATTTTTGCATAAGCATTGTCTTCAGTTTCTCTTGGGAGTTAAAATGGCCCCATGAGAAACTGAAAACAATGCTACGCAAAATTTTGGGGTGGCAAACAAAGATCATTATGATATGTTATGGTAATAATTTTCTGTAGTGGTCAATTAATGTTATACAATGTACATGTAACTTACGAGATCTGAAGCGACTGTATTCTTAGACCAGAGTAATCCTTTTCTGTTGGCTCCTGAAAATCAATCCATTCCTCTTCATCCTGAAAAACAGTACAATGAGTCATAAGAGCACTGAATTAATACACTTGGAGGAGCAGCATCACTGAGCAGTCAGAGTGTTGGCCTCAAGTTCAAACTAACCACTAGCTGGATTTGTTCTCAGCAGAACAAATTTCAACTCCTTATCCACCCTTGTAAATAGGCTGCCAACTGTTTTGTATCTGGCCAGTTGGGATTCTTAACCTTTTTATTTTTATTTCAATACTTATTTTCTGTCCTTAGTTGTGGGTCATACTGAAAACTACCGGGTTACGCGTAATTGTGCTATCCCTCCTATATAATTATACAGTTTTTTCATAATATAGATTTCTGGACTTGGACTAATTCAAACACATTTATTTGCAAGTCTGAGTTTCATGCTTCTCACAAAGCAATCATCAGGCAACAGAATTTTTTTATATATTTTTACACAGGTACAAGATGTAATTTATGCATTGAGAAGGAGGAATGCTTGACCAAGAAACTACTCATAAAATGCCAGCAACTGGCTAAAAAACCAGCTGCTTTGGGGTTTAAGCCCTCCACTTTTGGGGGAAAATGGGTAAAATAAGGGAGTGAAAGCCTCAAATTGCCTACAGTACTTCAATGACTGCCAGGCCACCTTCATTTACATCCTAGCTGTGTACTTTAAAACTTAAAAAGACCCTGTATATGTCTGGTTTCTTTAGTTTTACAAGTACTCTCACAGTGCTTTCCAGTTGTCAGAACTGACCAGCCCTCAATGAGAATTTCACTTTTAATCAAAACTATCCAGCCAGATCAGTCAAATCCTAAAATAATATACACGAAGGAGACAGTTATTCAGCAAAAACTCTTGGAAAAAGCCTATTTCATTGTCAAAATGACTGGTCTGGTAATGGTCTGGCCGGCCAGTTCTGACTTTTGGAAAGTGCCCTCATTCAAAGCTCTCTCAGCAAACACTCTACTTAGTGAAGAGAAGTAATTGATTAATGATGGTTAATCAAACAGTGATAAAGATATTGAAAGTCTTTTATCAATGACCACATGGGAGGGTCTTAAATTCCATGTCCGTATTCTCAGTTACACAGTTTTTATCATGCTAGTCTTAGTTTTGTTTTTGGACCACATACTGTATCTCTTCCATTGCTTATGGGAAGTCAGAAGGGCCATGCCTACAATCAAATAGCGCCGGTTATGGACACTTTTTTGTAGTTTCCCAAGGGTGAATTATTGTGGTAGTTTGACAGCCCTTTACTGTAACAAAGACCGCAATAAAATGCACAATGTGTAAGTAAACCTTGCAGACTACAAAATACATGTATATATTTTGCTGCATTATAAGGCTTACTTAGTCGACTGCTCGTAAGGCTTTCAATCCATCGCCCAGAATCATGCGACATATCCGGGAACTTAAAGCGCACTCCAAGCACCAAATATGAAACGATGATCAGCAAACCGAGGCCAAAACAAAGAAAAAACAGCCAAAACTGTTCAGAGTGGCTCACGTTTTACACTTTTTCGCCTTAACTATATAAAAATTATTAGTGTCAGCATATGGATTTTGTAGAAGAGACGTTAATAAAAAATACAAGACTGCTGGTGACTCTGTAGACCTCGTAGAAGTTCTGGCTTTTTCGCTTTGAAAATCGGCTACTTTAGTCACTATTTTGTATGGGAGGTCACGTTTGAGGCTAAATATCTGTTCAGCAAGTCACTTTATTCAAGCGTCAGCATATGGCCATGTTAGTTTGACCATTAAGGAAGACTCTCTAAAAGTTTGGTACGATTATGTTGTTGGGAAGTTCTGGCTTTTCGTCAATTTCTAAAAGTAGTCCTGCTCGCTTACGTTCGTAAATCTCGAGGACACACACGACTTGGTTTGAAACTCCCGCCTGCATATTAATGAATTGAAATGGATCAAAATTTGAATAATTATCTCACACAATGTTCCCTCAAGCATTAAGAAAAGGCTCTAGCTTTTTAAATGTTAAGCGACTCGTTGATGTTAAACTCAAATGTCATATACCAAGAGAGAATAATATTCTGTCTTGCATTTACTTCACCTCCTTCATCTTACAAATAGAAAAACTCTATGATTTTTAACTCCGTGACCAACACAATGGAAACCAATCGAGTAAAAGAGCACCTCTTTTATAATATGAGCTGCTCTGACCGAAAATGAAACGCAACGATGAAATAGAGGTAAGTGTTCCGCTCATTTCTTTTGCCATTTGACAAATGTTTGTCTGGCTGTTGCACGCAGTCAGATCTAATACACTTTATGCATTAAACCGGTACAGTGATTAACAGCTACTGATTCTCTTACGAGAGTGGTTGGTCTTTAGCTGGCTTTCCGAAAGCTTATTTATTCAATTATTATGCCGCACATTGAGAAACTGTGCACTGTAAGAACATGTCACAAAAGACAATAGTATTCTGGGCGATGCAGTGATCAAGTTTCACTAATTATAAAAACAAAATGAATTTTAAATCAAATTTCTTTCAAGAATATATGAATAAATTATGTACAACCATATTCCCTGTTGAAACTGGGAACATGGCAGCATAATTTGTACACGAAGCCACAAAAGCCAAGAAATTTTTGAATTTGTGCCTAGAATGGCAAAAAATAGTTAACTGGAACGGAAAATAGGGCAAAACGTTTTATTTTAATTGCGAAATAATCTACACGTGACTCCATCCCACATTGTGAAATAGCCGGTTTCGTAGACAGTTCTTTCGACTAGATATTAAAATAAAAGATATTCTTACTAGATTGGACGGTGTTGGTGCTACTCCTGAGGACTTTTTACCAGTTTGATCCTTAGATCGGCTGTCCGTCTCCTTTTGAAAGCTTCCAACTTGTTTCGTGATCGCATCGCTAGTGGTGAATTTGCTCTTCCCTTTCCCCTTCTTCCCTTTCGCCTTTTTCGCGAAGAAATCTTCTAGAGATTTGTCATTGTCAGACATAGCTTTCTACACGAAAAGGACCCAGGCGAAGGGCCGGGAGAAGCGAATAACGACGAAAATTCCACAAACTCTGACAAATTCTTTGTGACTAAAAAATTGCCTAAAAGATATAATGCGGACGCATCCACGCATGTCTTCCGAACCTTGACCCACTCTCTCACGGTCGTTTCCAACATGGCGGCTGAAGGAGAGGGTTTGGGCAGGAAACCAGACTGTATTTTCTGCAAAATTGCCGCAAAAGAGGACGAAACTCAATTGATTTACGAAGATGAGGAAATTGCAGTGTTTCCAGATCGTAAACCAGCTGCAAAACACCATTATTTAGTGGTGCCGAAGGAACATTACGGAAATCCAAAGTCGCTTCGTTCTGAAACTTACAAGTTGGTGGAACGTTTGTTTGAAGTTGGAAAGAAGGTTCTTCAAGATAATCAAGCTGATCTCAACGACGCGTTATGTGGCTATCACTGGCCTCCATTTAATTCTATTCAACACCTGCATCTTCATGTTATTTCGCCGCGTTCGCAGATGGGTTTTTTTGCCCGGCAAATGCACAAGCCCAATAGCTTTTGGTTTGTTACCCACGAATGGCTGTTGGAACATTTGAAAACAAAACCTTCTAATTCTTCATAA